ATCAGCAAGCTGCAGTCTTCACCAGGACAAACTTTTGTTACTCTGCCTTTTAATCTGTCCGTTCTGCATTTTCTTCCCATTGGTATAAAGGAATTGACAAAAATTGAGGACATTGCATAAAATTCAATGTGAGTTAAGGAAAGCACAAAGCAGGAGTGAACAGCTGAATCAACCAGGCTGAGCAGACGCGTTTGATGATTCACTGGAGGAGCATCAGAATGTCTTTAATGAAAGTGTGAAACGGCTTTTAGAGTTATTTCCTTTAAGGACAGCTGCAGCTGACGGTTAATTAGAAAAGCTAAACTTGTTGCCTGACAACATAACTTAAAATTGAAACTTGTTGCCATTGGTAACGAAGATCTGTTTTCCCTGGCTCTGGCATCAGCATCACCACGGTGGAAAACAGTCCAGCCATTTGCAGCATCGTCTGATGTCAGCTTTCAACTGCACAGATTCTGCAGTGATGCGTAGATCTGGAAGAGAAAAATCAATCCCAGAGTTAGAGGCCATGACTGGCCGGGGGGGAGGGGCTAATGCTCAGCTCCAGGTGCTGGTCCACCAGCTGTCTTCCTCCAGCAAACTTTCACTACAGCTGTCCATGATCTCACTGCTGGGTCATGTTATTCACATCCAGCCACAGTTTTCTTCACAGCTGCAAAAGAAAAGAAAAGAAAAGCTGCTGCTTTAACCTCCATAAGGAACAGCTTCAGAAGGTTTAGAGAAATGAACGTGGTCTTGGCTGAACAGCAACACTTGAAACTATCTGACCAGGTTTTATCAGATCAATTTTCTCTACTCAGCAAATAGGAATCCAGATTGCAGGACCAATGGAAGGAAGCCCACTGCATGAGAGATCCTCCATGAACGGACTCAGAATTCCTCTACACACTGCAACAGGATTCACCTCAAGAATCTTGAGGTGAACATAACCTTTTTCACATTCAGCGAGAACACTGTGGCTTGATTTAATAATGTGGAGCTGAGGTTGTGTTCACAGCTAAATGAAAAGCAATAAGGAACATATCTAGTTACTGTTGTGAGAAAGAACTTTTCTCTTTTGACCTGTGCAAAAACAAAATATGCACTGATAGTGAAATGGAGAACTGCAGTAAGTATTGACCAGAGCTGGTCAAACATCCAAACAAACGAATGAAGGCAGCAGATGGAGCCTGTAAAGACCAACTCGGGCATGAACTCTTACCAGAGCTGTGGAAAAAAGAGATTATTATCTTATTCTAAGACTGGAAAAGTCTTAGAATAATAATACAGCCAAATTTTATAGCTTTGTTTCAGACACTCAAAGACACTTCTGGAGAAGTTCAGCTGATTCTAACAGGCTGGAAGAACCCCCCCCATCCCAGAATGCTTTGTCTTTACAATATGCTTTTGTGATTTGTTTGCGGTTCCACCATGGCTGGATGTCAGAAATCCCTCCCAGTCCCGCCTGTGTTGAATAAAAACACAGTTCCTTCACAAATAAAAAGGAGTTTTATCAGTAGTAACTTCCTCTGACTTCACTTCCAATCTAATTGTTTCCACAGACAGTAGCTTCATTCAGAGTTTCTGCTGCACCACCTCTTTACCCCAAACTCAGAAGTGTTCTTTGTTTTTCACTCAGCCAGCAACTATGAAATGCTAAGAGAGGGAGAATTGGCACATCTGGATTCATGACTACACCCTGGGTCTCCAGTTTCACTTCCACCATTAGGAGCAGGAAAAGGGGGTTATGGACCTGAGACCTGCGAACGTTCACGGTTGATTTAGAGGGTTCGGCTGTGTAACGCCAGAATTCCATCTCATTCCTCACGGGTCTCTGCAGCCCTGTCAGACAGGCTGGAGGAAAAAAAAACTTTGTGCACACTGAAACAACCATTGTGCTCCAGTGCTGCACACACACCAGCAGCTGTGTGTATCGGCAGGAGAGGATTATAAAAAGGCTTCAGTGTTTGGCAGAGCTCCAGTCTGTGAAGATCCGTTACCCTGGGGGAGACGGGGAAGAGGCTTGGGGTGGCTGCTGCATGTCTGCTCCGTTACGACCTCAGACAAGAGGTGACAGAGTGACCTCTTCATTTCAGACAAAAGGGGGGGAACTCTGGTCTGTGTGTGTTCAGATGGAGATAAAATTCCTGAATAGAAACCAAAGGACCAAACAAATGTATAAAATGCATTGCAGAACAACATGATTGGTATCCATGGCAACTCCAGAGGTTTTCAGCTCCATCATGTTCTGGTTCAAAACACCCACTAAAAGGTTTGGAGGACTTTTGATCAGAACTCTGCTTCCCTGAATATTGGCCTGTCATCACCATCAAATGTGAGCTCATCTGTGCACCAGGTGACCCTACACCAACGTCATTGCCATTTATACCCATCCTATCGTCCTACCCTGGGTAACGGAGGCTCAGCAGGTAGGAGTTCAGCCTGTAACCGGTGGGTTGCTGGTTCAAACGTCTCCTGTTCAACTCATCATTGTGTTTTTGCCTTGTCTGCTGGTGGTGGTCAGAGGGTCCAGTGGTGCTGCGTTGCCTCTGTCAGTTTGCCTCAGGGCAGCTGTGGCTACAGTGTGGCTCACCACCATCAGTGTGTGAATGAATGACTGAAACCAGAGGACTTCAGAGTCCTCTGGATTAGATAAAGCAAGTACATCATTTACCCACCTTGATTTACTTCAAATAAGAAACTACCAAAAGTAAAGAGCTGCAAAAGATTACATCTATTTAAAACAGTCTTTCTAAATCCTGGTCCTCAGGGAATACTCTAGTCAGAATTCTATTCAATGAAACATTTCTACTTATTTAGAAGATGACATGTTTCACTGTTGGAAAATTTAGTTTTATGGATATGCTAACGGTCATAATGAAATGATGTCATTCAAGGGTGGACAAAATTGTTTGGGACACCAACCAATAAGAAGCAGCTTTGAACACCACTTAGCCAATCAACTGCTTGGGTCCCATACAACCTCTGACTTTATATAAATATATTTAAGCAAAGATTTGAAGCATAAATTAAGGTTAAATCTACCCAGAACATCCTATTGTTTTCAGCTGCCAATTATGTTTTAATAATGAAGATGTCCTGGTCGTACGTTAGACTAGTTTTAACCATATATTTGTTATTTTTCAGGAAACACCTCTTTTTCTGTATTTTTTTTAAATTATTATTATTATTATTATTTATAACAGAGTAGTTTCCCTTTCTAATTTCAGCAGAAAAGGGGGGAAATAACCATTAGGGGGCAAATGGTAATCATACAGAATCTTAAAAAGCTCAACTTTTTAAAATTTTCTCCATTTAATAATGAAATGTAAACCATAACTCAGCAAACTGTGACCTCATTTCGAAATGTAATCTGTGAGAAGCCGAGCTGCACAAAGAGCAAACAGGAGAATGTTCAGGAAGAGAAGGGAGCTAACAAAGAAACACAGAGGGTGGGTTACGAGGTAATGCATCCTAATTGCCGCCAGGCTGCTCTCTGCATGGGGCCCCGATTGAATTGTGAGTGGGACCAGTAATGGCTATGTTTATGTGCTCTTTGTCCTGCAGCAGGACAAATTTGTGTGTCTTGCTGCATGCTGCACCTCCACAGTGAGACAGTTCTCAGCTACGGGCAGCAGGATGGGTTGATATGTCTGATCAAAAAAGGCAGCTGTGGCGAAATGTCAGTAAAAACTAAGAAATAGTGTTGAAACTTTTTCAAAATCTTTCCTTTGAAGACATAGAACCTCCCAGAAGTCCTGGAGTTTGGAAGTGTTCCTGAAAATTCCTAGTTCCACATTCTTGTAGAAATGTTTCTACAGATCTTCAGTAAAAGGTCTGTGCTGACTGAGTGAGGGTTTACCCTGGTGAGGGAGCTCCAGCCTTGTGCCTGATGATACAAAGGAAGTTTTGATTTGAAAATATTTTTTTCTTTTCACTTCCTGCCTTTCAGAAATTATGAACATACACTCCCCTGCAGCTCATTCGGCCATACTCTACAGTTAAACATAACACGACATTTATCTTTATTTACATTTCCTACATATTCATTCAGACATACAAAAGTTTAGTTGTAAATTACCAAACTATAAATGTTGTTAATCTTAGATCATATAGTCTTAACATTAACCAGTTTTTAAAATGTAAATCTTCTCCCATTGTCTGCAGTAAATGAATTGAGTCATTTCCATGACAAAATACTTCAGCGGTATGTGCAAACATAAATTATGGAAATTTTACAAATATCAATAATATGCAAAAGAAACATCACTGCTTGAAGCACTGTACCTTGGGGAACTCCATATTTAGCCTGTTTGAATACCAACGTTTTTATTGAAATGTCCTGCAATTCTGTAGTTCACTCTTTACTATTATAGTTCAAGTATAATGCTACTCCTCTCCCAATATATCCTTATTTTCCCTTTATCATATTTGAAAATCAACAACTTGTCTCAGATCAGATATGCCTAAAACATATTCTACATTATCTGTAGTTGTTATTGTCTTTACAAATTTCATGAGTATAAAGTTGTCTATTCTTGTTCCTGTTCAAAATCTGCTCTGTTGTTCTCACAGAAAATTGTTTTTCTGAACTGAAATATTCGTATTTAAATTATTATATATTTTTTTGCTGTATTCGTTTTAAGAAACTTAAAGAAACAAACCTGCATTTACTGTAGCGACCTGTCTCCTACTTGCTGTTACTTCAGGCTACTTTCTTGGTGTTAGGCCTCACTATATAAGTTTATGAGGCCGAAGTGTGTGTGATTGAACATGCTGGCAACATGACACATTCATAGTCACGTAGGTCATAAGGTCAGAAAAATGTGCAACTGCTGCTTTAAACTCGAAAGGACATTTTTTCCCCATCTAAACTCCTCCTCTCCTTTCTTTGCCTCCTTCGCAAACAAACAGTGCCAACCTGTTGGCCCTGATGTGGGATCAGCTCAGTGATCTGTTCCTCAGCTCGTGCAGCCGTGGATCCTTCACTGTGCTGCTCTCAGATCAGTTCCCTCACCCTTACACTTTTTCCCTCCCCACGCGCGCTCTGATCCGACAGCAGCTCCACTCCGCAGTCTTTTCCTTCCACTTCCACTCTACTTCAGAGACGCCAACCAGGCTGGCTGTTCCCACGCCTCTGTACCCTTAGGACCAGCATCTGTACGGAAATAAACACGGATTAAATCATTGTTTTGGGGATTATGCTTTTTCCAAATCGGACTACAGATGCGGGAATTGAATCAGGAGTCTCGACTTTTTCCAGTAAAGTAACCGTGCAGCAGAAGTGGACGTAAACTTTTTTGGACTGGGCTCGGTCTTATAATGTCAGGGCTTCTGAGTGTGTTATGAGTGGCGTTTATGATATTTTTCCCCATTTCTTATGAGAGCTGTGTTTTATATGGACAGTTTTTCAAGTGGAAAAGACGAGAGAGAGACTTCCACATCTCAGGAATTCGACGCCAGGAATTGAAGGGTCCGTGAACGCCGCAGGTAGCTAGCTAACTTGCTCGAGACTTTTAGGATTGTTTCAATATCTCCTGATAGAGGTGAGAAACATAATAGGCCTAATTTTACTCAAACGAATGCTCTGCTCTGTTCGGCACACAGCTAACGTGAGCTAAATGCTCTGTGTGAGCTTTTCCAGGGTCGCATTTTGTTTAAACCAACTCGGGTCTAGTTCAGCCTCCACCATTAGCCTCCGCGGCTAACGTCCCAACATGCCGCAGCTGGGCAGAGACGGAGACGACCTGGGGGCTAACGATGAGATGATTGCCTTCAAAGACGAGGAGGAGAAACCCAATGTGTCCTCGGAGCGGGACTTGGATGATGTCAAGTCGTCCCTAGTCAACGAGTCGGAGACCACCAGCAGCTCTGACTCGGTGAGTTGAGCAGAGGTCCGTGAATGCTTCCCGCTGTGCTCCGGGTGTCTTCATGCTGCTGTGGCTCTGTGTGCAGGCAGACAGGCGCCCCAAGCCGCATCCAGATGCCGAGAGCAGGGCCAGGCACGGCCAGCTGTTCCAGGAAGGTAGGCAGCAGCATGGCATTCTGGGTTATGATGCTTCTAGTAATAAAAATTCTATGGGACTTCTTAATCAAAGAAATAGTTCATACAGTGTTAGATCAACAGTTATGAGCTGCAGTTTGAAATTTGAACTAAAACGTTGGGGATGCTAACAATTGTTTTGGCCATGAATTATTCTATCGATTATTGTGAGGATTAATAACGTAATTGAAATAAAATGGCCACATTTTGCAGAGTTTTAATTTAACTATTTATGGCCATTTACATAAGAGTAGACATGCATTAAAAAATATGCAAATAATTCATTTTTAAATAACAATAAACATGTGATTGACCAAAATGCAATAACAGCATTCCTTTAGTCAACGTTTGATGGCTTGTAGCAAAGAATGCATCTACAACTAAAAAATCCTTCTAGCATCAACATGTGAAGAGCTCAGGCCTTTCTGCTGGACTGAACATCAAAACAGAGTAGTGCTGATATGGTGGTTATCTTTTATTAATAATTGAATACCAAGAGGTGCTTAATAAGATAATTTTTTTTACAGAACTTGGAACTAGGTCAAGCAAAAACTGTTACTTGAGGAGTTTGGGGTTGGGCAGATGTATAGTTTTTCATCTTCAATGCAAACTATTTTTGTAAAGATTTTATTTAATTGCTGCTCTTGTTCATTCAGCAAATTACCTCTTTGAGTCTCTATAACTCAACAATTATTTAATAACTAAATTGTTTTACTATTGTTTCAATAATCAGTTATTTAATAAAATGTTTCAGCCCTAAATAACAAATGTCTGCTCACATTGTAGAACTTAGATATTCATGCAGAAGTTCCACATTTGGGCCTGTGCTTCTGACAGATTATTGGCATGGTTGGAGGTGGACCAGTCAGAACGGCAGATTGTTCCCTCATTAGCTCAGTGATCCTTGAAATATTTATATATATTTTTTGGTCAAAATTTTCTTTTATTTCAAGGTTGTCCCATACAGATGCAGTATGTGAATGCTGATGGAGGTCCTCACAAAATCTAAAATAAACATACACATGAGTTTAAGAACTGCTATCTTGAGTCTGTAAAGTCATCAGTTCATGGATTCACTTTTAAGTGCAGTAGCAATCAGATCAAATTTAGGGACATGCTTTGATAAGTAACAGTTCTCCATCTTGTAATTCCTGTGTTTTCTAGCTCTGCTGCTCACTTTCTCTCGAAACAAAGTGGCTTGAGCAGTCAGCCACTTTGTGCACCACAAACAGGAAATCAGCATCAGCTAGGAAAAGCCTGATTGGTACATCTCTAGTTTACACTTTTCTACTCTTCTTTGACATATCCTGTGACATGTGTGACTGTTGTACAATGCAGAGGTAATGAAAATAGATTTTGCCTTGAGAATCTTTTTGTCATTTTGTTCAGCCTTAAGCCTTCTGGGCCATATTGAAGGGCTTGAACCATCAACTCCTGCTGTTGCAACTATCTAGACATTCTTCCAAAAGAAAGTGTGAATCTCCTGATCGATCCAGATGTAGACAGTCAAAGCTCCCAGGATTGTTGATTATGAGCTAATTTCTGAACAAATCAGAACAGTTGAATAGGCTGCTGCATTTCTGAGGCAGCAAACACACAAGCCATTTAAAATTACTTCCACCTTTCCAGAAGGTTTGAAGTGATTCTACATAAGTGGGTGTAGTCATGGTGACAGAGTCATTACTTTTGGCTGAAACTGACAGCTTAGAAAACATTTTCAGCACAGCATCTCTGGTTAATTCTCAGATATCTGAAACATTAGAAGGAAGCGCTAGCATTTTGCATTCATTACCTAGAATGCAAAATGATGATTAAACATTCTTTCATGTTGTCATTGTCACTGAATTTCAATCCTAATTGACATTTTTTAATGTTTTTTTTTTTTCAAATATTCATTCTATAGTTAGTTAAACATGTAAATAACGTGGTTAGCAAAATTATTCATAGCTTTTGAACTTTTCTATATTTTGTCACATTTCAACCACAAACATCAATATTTCACTGGAATCAACACAAAGTAGTGTACAACTGTGAAGTGGAAAGAAAATGATGCATGATTCAAGACTTTTTCATTTAAAACAGGCTTAGGCTATAAAAGGATTTCCCAAGCTTTCAACATCTCACTGTTCAGTCCATCATCTGGAAATGGAAAGAGTCTGGAACAACTGTGACCCACCTGAACTTCCTGGCTGAACAAGCAGAACTCTGATCAGAGATACAGCTAAGAGGCTCATGGTGACTCTGGACTAAATGCAGAGATCCACAGCTCATAGGGGGAGTTTTTTCCACAGGACAACTACTAGTCATCACTGCACACATGAGGTCTTTATGGAAGAGAGGCAAGAAGAAAGCCATTGTTAAAAGAAAACCATATGAAGTTCATTTTGCAAGAAGTCATGTTGGACACAGCAAACGTGTGGAAGACGGAGCTTTGGTCAGAGCTAAAGACTAGCAGCTGCAACAGAAGCAGAACCTAGTTTCACAGAGGATTGAAACGGGGGCTGGATACTTCTACACACTGCACTTTTCGTTTTTTTATTTGTAAAAAATATTTTGAATCATAATTTTCTTTCTACTCCACAGTGGTAGATCATTTTGTGTTGGTCTTTCACATAAAATTCCAATAAAAAATATTTGTTTGTGGTTGTAATATGAGAAAATATAGAAAAGTTTAAGAGGTATGAATCCTTTTCCATTTCACTGTCTGCCCATCAGATATGGAATCAGTGTTTTTAATGGAGACTCAGTTTCCCAGACTCAGGTTCCCCCAGCTAAATGCTGATGTTGTTCCTCAGGGCCCCGGAAGCAGTATGACACGGGCCTCTTCCAGCCTTCTCCGTATGTGGGCTATCCCTTCTTCATGATCTCGGACCTTGGGAACCTCTGCAGCCCCTACATCACTAACGGAGCTCTGGCCCCAAGCGGCCGGACGGTAAGTCAGCACCAAACACTGATGGCCGACCATCAGAATGCCACCCTGCTTCTTTATGTGTCTTGCTTGATTGTTTGTTCATTATTTGTTGATGAATTCTAAAAATAATAATAATAATAATAAAAAAACATTTTCCATCACAGTTCAGTTAAACACTTTATTCATCCCAAAGGGAAGGTAAAGGCTGTCATGACTCAAAGGTTCTTCAAAGAGTTGCTGTGCAGGGACAGGATGTCTGCAGCAGGCAGTGTTACAACAAGTCTGAAGAGACCTCTTATTGAAGACTGTCAGTCTGACCTGCTACTTGTTCAATATCTGGACATCAGAGATAATATTCCACAGTGACATGTTCTGGATGACAGTGGAAGCTCTTATTGCAGTGTTTCTTGATTGTTTACATACATTTTCTGAAAGAATGCCTCATGCTCTCAGAATTCAACACACATATCAGAAACACACACACACGCCGACACAATGGGCAAAACCCTCCAATTCTCCTGCAAGATGAAACTTTACATTCAAAACAATGTTCTATCTTCTTAAAATTGTATTTTGTTTTCAGATTCACATACAGAGCCTCGTGTGATTAGACATAAGCACCAGTTGAAGACTGAGGTGCTTGGTGTAAAACACGTCTCCATTCATCATAATGACTGTGTTGCGTTTACTCCACATAGTACATGCAGGTGTGTTGTAAAATATTTTAGAATATAGCTTTTGGAACACACAAATACAGTGTAATAAATATATTTTATTTTTTCAACAAAAAACATTTGCACACCGTTCATATGAACTTTGTGCCATTGCAGGAAATTGTGTGTAGTGTTTTGAAAAAAAGTGTGATTTACAACTGCAATTTCAGTGTAAAGCATGGATTGTTGTCATTGTGTCTGAAGTACCACTATTTATGAGTAAACAATCAAGAAAAACTGTGACAGATAACCTTAAACCATGTGTGTAAACTTTCTGTTGCATTTTCACATTAAATCTTCATGAAACACCTGAGATTTGTGCAGGAAAAGAGCGGAACGTGAAGAAGTTTAAGAAGTTTAATGAGTTTGCGAGGCTCTGGTCATGTGTGGGTGTTCTGGCTCGGCTGTAGGCTCCTCAGGGACCTGCTGGTTAAACCTTATCAGAAACCGACACCACTAAAGGGCCGCTCAGGAAGCTGAAACCTGCAGTTGCTGCTTCATATTACAGGGATATTATATTTTAGCGAACTGAGGCCTCGGCACCACCGCCTGCAGGTCTGCTGTGTGTGCACGGTGTGTGTGTTTCTGACCCGCTTTGTAATAGTGGCGTGTTAGACAGGCCTGGACACAGCCTGCCTGCATGCCTGCATGCCTGCCTCTAGCAGGAATGAGCTCTGATTGCGTCTGATTCTCTGCTGCAGATTAGCTGCTGTAGCTGCCAGGTACCAAGCAGGATTTGCAGAGTGTTGCTCAATTTCCTGTCCCTACAGCGTTTTTGAGGATAAGCTTGGATTAGGGACCGCTGTCTGATGGTTTAATACATCTCTGCACCCAACCATGTTTAAATGTTGGCTCTGTGGAAGTGGGAGAAGTTTCAGGACATTTAATGTGAAGTGTTACAGCAAAGGAAAGTTTGAGGTGATGACCTCAGGGGAAAAGCTTAACTGAAGTTGTCAACTCACAGCTAAAGCCTCACATGACGCTGCATCTGAAGCCTTTAGACTCAGGGCTGAAGTCTGCCTTTCTTTGTCCTTTCCATGTTTGTTTTTGGAAGTCTTGCCTTTACTTATTTAAGCTACACATGCAGGTTAAACACTCAGCCCAGCTTCCTCACACAAACACCTGCATTCCTCAGTTTTGTAGCAGCCATCCTTTCTCTTTCTGGCTCATTGTTGTCCATCACAGAGTCTGAATGGTCGTTAAGCCCTCTGTGTACCCCAGTGGCAGCTACACAGGAGCTGCTGCTTTATCGGCCTGGTTTCTTTCATTTTGGGTGATCAACCATATGCCAAAACTTTCATGTGAACCTGTCTTACCCACCAATCTTTTCTACAACCACAACATTCTGAGAGAGCAGTGTATAACAATAGCCTGTCTGCTGTTGCCTACTTTGCTACTTTTTTCTATATCTAGTTCAGAAACAAATTTCTAAAGGCCAAAATCAGTCAAGCTCTTTAAATATTGGTGATCAGTCAGACCCAAGTGTATCCCTACTTTAATAATAGCAATCAGTCTGCTATCAATAGCTGTCCTGAACATGTCTAGATATTTGACAGAATATTCCTAAAGAAAAAGTCTTGAAAATGTTTTCTATTCATCTTTATTATTATGAACTGTATTTGTATATCACTTCAATAAATTATTTTTTTCTACTGTACCTTTTTCTCTCCCTCTCTAACTATCATAGATGTATGACTAAGTTTTGTATTACTGTGTTATGCAGCCATGGGGGACATTTCCCTCTGACAGCTGGACCAGAGAGGGGTGGCTGATTTGCTGCTTGGCAGGATCAGGGCACCAAGCTGGTGGGCCAAATCACGTTCATGAACTTCAGCACGTCAGACATCTTTGCTGCCTTGCAGACTTTTGTGTCATTTTTTTTCTGTGTGATGTGTGTCTGATTGAGGGAGTGTTTCTACTCCAGATAAGGATTGATTACTAAAGTAGTTGATTATTTCAGTAGTGGATTAATTGTTTCCATTGCTGACCTTCTTCTCGGCTGTTTTCTTGGTTCTGGTGTTGGTGATGGACCTTCAGCAGGCCCCTGTGGGACGTGATGACACGCTGTCACTTTCATTCATTCACTGAGGCCGTTGTTTCCTCTGAAGGCTACATTAAGCCTCAGAACCAGAGTTGTTCTGCTGTTTATCGGACCTTCGAAGAGAGGAGTCACTCTCTGCCTCCTCAGACTGTTGGGAGTGTTTATGGAGGATGAGGAGATGGACCGGCTATCTCAAGCAGAGTCTTTGTAAACAAACCTCTGCTGGTTGCTCGCTAGCTGAACTATAATACAGACTGTTTATTGTGCTGATGGGTGCAGGCAGGAAGCAGGAGGCGGCGTACAGAGACGACCTGTCTGCTCATTTCGCCCTCCTCCCATAACGCCCTGGCTCCTCCCCACAGCGCCGCAAGCCGCTGCAGCTCAGAGACTCATCCGTCTGCTCATGATTTAACCTGTAAACCTGCTCGTCACTTAAAATGCTGCCTCTTTAGAAAACATGCTGGTCACATGGTCATGCGTGGGAGAACAGGCGATGAGTCTTTATTCCAGATATTGTGGCTGAAAGCTAATGAACAAAATAACAATAATAATAGAATGTGACCAGCTGTAAATGGTTTTGGACTCTCAGTGAAATGATTCCTCCTCATTTTTCCACTCTGACCTCTGTTTTATCGTAGGTCATTGTTGCCTGATGCACACTTCCTTGTTTATGTTGCTTCACCGCAGCGACAGGCGACTAACAGCATAGCTAACAATGTTCCGCAGTATGTCAGAATTATTTGACATCTGATCTGATCTGTGAGTCACTTTTTTGTTGGTAGTTTTTTAGTGTTCTGCACAGAAAGTAAACGTGACCCTCACACCCCTAAAAATATTTTAGGCTAATAAACTTTGTTTAGAGTGAATTGCAAATCCAAAACATAACACAGGCCTATAAAACCATCTTTACTATAATACATGCAGTTTTTATTTGGGAGCTTGATGAAATTTTTGTTTTATTTTGACTGAGGCAAGCATTGAACATTTGCCTTTTAGCCAACTTGAATAAATCAGTCATACAGATTCGGGGGACCCAGGTCAGGTTACACAATGTGCTGCTCTTGGAATGGAGAGCAAACACAACTGATCCAGGGGCCACACTTTGGACACTCCTCATTTAGGGGCACTTGGTGGTAATCCCAGCCAGAGCTGACTCTCTTCTCCAGCCAGCTCCTCTCATGTTAGTGGTTGAACATAACCTCCAAATTTTTTTCAATAGTGACACCTTCCCAGAGTTTTTTTTAAATAGATTTGATATATATATTTTTTTTTCTAAAAATGAGAGATTTTAAATCTGCAAACATCTGTCCCACTCTGAACAATTGGTAAATTGTCTGTAGTTGTATATGGTCATGTGCTTTACCCAGAATGCCCTGCTCTACAGTCTGCCTCCTGTCTTTGGAGTGACCACCAAATATTATAATTATTACTATTTATTACCATTCTGTCTTGTAGTTAGGTTCAGGTTGAGGTTCCAGAAGAGGTTGCTGCTTCCTGCTTATAAATCTGTCACTTTTTCTGTTTCTGACTCCAGAGATGTTTCAGCTGCTTTCTGCTCCTGAGTGTGTTTAGATGCTTCCTCTCTGGCTTTGGTCTCTGAACTAATGACTCAATCCATCTTCAGGAAACACTCCATCATTAATGTCTGATGGACTTGCTCGAGGAAATTATTCTGACACTTGAGTCAAAAATTCACCACCCAAGGCAGATCAGGATTTCCCGGATTTTCCCCGAACTCCTGTAGCCGTTCTCAGCTGGCATCTCATTGGTTCGTTGAATAGAACCTGAGCTGTTTGCTGCTCATAAGCAGCAGTAATCCTAACAAGTTTCCCCTGAGCTCAGATCCATACCCGAGGCTCAGTAATGGGCTTGTATTGTGTGTATGTGTTTGTGTGCGTGTGTGTGTGTATGTTTGAATAGAGCAGTGTTGTGGTGTTTCCAGCAGCTGGATCCAGTTAGCGCTGATCCTCAGGTTCCTCTAAGCGCTGAAGCCGGGCCTGGGCCACAGACCAGCTGTGTGCAGGGGCCGGTCTTGTTGCTCTGGTGTGGGGGGAGGAGGTTTCGCTCATTCATGCCTAAATGTTTGTCTGACGTAGTTCCAGGCTGATGAGACTAACATGGTTTTTGGTGTTCTTATTTTGAGTTCTGCCTCCTAGTCATTAGTTCAGAGAATTGAATTTGATGCTGCTGCCTCAACAATTGACTCAAAAAAGATGACGCTCTCAACAGTCTTATCCTTGAAGGATCTTAGCTTCTTCAACAAGTCCAGTCTGTTGTCCAGATGAACACAGAGGTATTTGTATTCCTCCACTTCTTCTCCCATGATGGAAGTAGGGTTTGATATAACCCTCCATGCCTCCATGTCAGATGATACTCAGATGGAAATCCTTACTTTTTATTGATTAATTCCATTATCTCTGCCATGTACTCTCTGTGTAAAGTGCAAAATGTCTGCACTTAAAGGTCGCCTAGTGTTCAGGTGACCCCCAGTGATGATCTATACAGGTGGGCCATCCTGTTCAGTGTTTTAGTCGTAGTAATTTAACTACGACTAAAACAGAAAGAAAGAGGCAGGCACAGCCCTGCCTCTTTCACTTTTGTTGCTCTTGTTATTTGAGCTGATGACTCAAGCAGCTAAAATCTTCCTCTGTTACTTTCCAGCCATGGTGAAAGCTGTTGACTCATTTTCAAATCATAAATCAATATTCCAACATATATAAATAGCTGAAAGTGTCGGGTTAGCGTTAGAAGGCTTCCCTGCCTTGCTTTGGTTTATCTTCTGTCAGTCAGGGTCAAAGGTCACAGTTGAGAGCCTGTAGCCGTCACTCACAGCTGAAGAAGCACTAAAGGGCCTTTCAGCAGACCCATGTCCACCCTGCAGCCTGTTCATCAGGACCATCAGCTCTGAGTTCTTATCTGCAGGCAGCTTCCTGCTGTGGTGGCTCAGCATCGATGGGGGGGGCTGAGAGGGCAGTGGGGAATGTAAACAAGTGACAAATGAAGAGGAGAGGAGGACACTTAACCACCTTATCTTGTGTTAGAATCCCAGGGGGAATATTTGCTCCTCTTGAGGCTGGTCATTTAAATTTCCCATCTTGCCTTCTGCCTCTGCTTCCCACAGAATCGTCACCTTCCGAAAGTCTGCTTACCTCTGTTACTGGGAAGCCTGACAGACCCTTCCCTTTATGAAGGGGAAGAATAATATCTGAAAAGTGTGGTATGCATATATCGATATCTGAGTCGTAGTATTGGCCAAAGATGGTGATTAACTTAAAATGTTTTTTTTTAACAAATTCTCAAATGTACTGAATTACAACTTAATTTGATAACTTTGCACTAGTGCAGCTCACTTAAATGCATAAACATGTAAAAACAACTTTCATTTGTTCATTCAGTGCAGTTAGGAGTAAAACAGCCAATGTGAAATAAATAATAAAGAAACTATAACTGCTACAGAAACAACAGATGTTGTTGCTGAGAGCACAACGCATAGAATTATACTGAATAGATCTGCTCTGATGTATTGGACACATTGTCACTGATACCCATTCTACAATTGAGCTAGATAGAATCAGTGCATTTATACATTTATAAATGCATTTATACCAAAATACATGTTTTGGGAGTGTTGCTTCAGCTGTACTGATATAGAGACTGAAGGTTTTTCTATTTTTTCTTTGTAAAAGGAAAAATGAAGCTCAGTCAAAGTGGATGGAGAGCATCAATGGTTCAAGTCCTGCCATAGATCATGCACTGGATTTAGGTATAGACTTTGACTGAGCCATTCCAATAATGACTTTGTTTTTTGTTTTTGTTTTGTTTGGTTTTTTTGTCTGAACGTTGCTAAATATTGCAAGAAAGTTGCTGAGTTAGCAAAAGTGGAAGAACTGCAAATGTGCAGACGTGATCTGGTGGGCCAGTCTGTCACTCAAACTTTTCTCACAGTAGAGTACAAGAGGGCAGCTGCTGATTATAGACCTGAGATCTAGGTAGATAAGACCAGCTTCACATGCAAGTATCGGTTGATCACTCATCTACCAATATTAAGGATATCGGTGCCAATTTATCGGCTGGCCAATTTATATTGGTACACCCCAATTTTGTAGCTCTGTCTGTGAGCCAACAATGGATAAAATGGTCTGAATATAAAAGTGCACCACACCTTGACAATAAAACAGCTGACAGCAGCCTCTGTCTCCCCACAGTACCTGCCGTTTCAGTGGCCTCTCCTTGACATCCCAGGAAGAGCAACTATCAGAGATTCTGCTGCTCCCGCACACCTGGTAAGACTCTCCCTCTCTGCTACACACACACAGCATGTTGGGTTTCCCACATTTTTATGCTGCTGTAACAGCAGAGAGGATGTGGAATGTTCAACAAACATCATGCACAAATAAAACATTTACTTAATCATTAAACATTTACTTTAATCCAACATTGCAGTACTTCTTCACTGCCTGAAGAGGGCAGTAGATCTACTAACATGAACTGTTTATTTATCAATGAAGAGAAACGACTGAACTCTATCAGCAAAACAACTAGTGTGTTCAGTGTAATGATTCAACGACTTGCAAATATTCAACAATTTTTCATTTTTCCAATCATTTGAATTTTTCAGACCTCCTCCATTATTATTATTATTATTATTATTATTATTATTATTATTATTATTGTTATTATTATTATTATGATTATTATTATAGTCACAGTCATGATTAAGACATTTTTTTCCCCATCCAGATGTGTTTTTCTCTATTCCTCTCAGCTCATGTTGGTTCTGATCTCTGCAGTTCACCGGAAACGTCCCACATCCAGCAGTGGCTCTTAAACCCTGTACAAGTACAAAACAATATTTCTCAATCAAGTTTAATTAAGAAAAAAAAGTGGAATTGTTACTACTTTTTATGTCCTCTTTACAAACATAGTTTTTCTATCATCTGGTTGTTCAGATTGTTTAATAAAAATGAAAAATCAGTCCAGAAATTAGTCTGTTTTACAGTTTCACCTGTTTGACTGTAAACCAAGGTAGAGTGCAGTTAGTTGACAGAACGATCCACATCCTTCATCAGTGAGCCCCTTTTGTTCTTCCCCACTTCATCCTATTTGATGAAGCTTTAGAAAAGTTTTTCTGTGAAAAAAGTTCACACAACATTTGACGTTTTTCTGTAGAGAAGGCTGGATGTGTAGACAGAGCCAGGAGTCGTGTGATTGGGATGTGATGTGCTTCACTGACACAAACTGCTTTCATAAGTTCATAATTGATAATCACTATAATATTCTGCCATTCTATATGTCCAGATTTATGGACGCATGTCTCAGGTCAATGACATAATTAAAAATTTTACTTGACCATTCAGACAGTTAGCACTTTGAAACCTATCTGATGTGCATCCAATTTAGTTCCACATGTGGAAGTGGCACAGGTCAGATGTTTTTGGAGTGAAAAGATAAGAACTGGACCATTCAGACTGCGGTGAAAAAACAGCTTTGGATCACATTCACCTGATGTGTGAATGTAATAACTAGATTAATTCCACACAGATGGATGTTTCACATTAAAATTAGTTTTGCTGTTACTTCTCAATGTGAAATAAATAGAAAAGGTAGAGTGCAGTTAGTTGACAGAACGATCCACATCGTGGATGTGGATCGTTCTGTCAACTAATCCAAGCAATGTTGGATTATAAACACCATAAAATATTCCTGCATTCCTGCTCCCTACGTTCTTCCGATTTCCTGTTTCCCACTTCCTACTTTCTGCTTTCTCCTTCCTGCTTCCTACTTTCACTGAGACTGGATGTAGTGGAGCTGGAGTCTGGCAACAGCACGGACACTGAAGAGCAATGTTGGATTATAAACACCATAAAATATTCCTGCATTCCTGCTCCCTACGTTCTTCCGATTTCCTGTCTCCCACTTCCTACTTTCTGCTTTCTCCTTCCTGCTTCCTACTTTCTGCTGCCTGCTTCCTGCTGCCAAGTGTCTCTCAGATGAAATCCATTTGTGTTTAGTGAAAAGATTTGGATGTGAAGCAGGTTTTCTGGACTGCAGCTGTTTCACACCAGCAGTGTTAACCCGGTCAGTTCCAGATGATGCTGATGAATTGCTGTTGGTGTTGCAGCAGCAACTTGCTGAAACACCAACATGTTGAGTTTCCTCTGTCTCGTCTCCAGTCCAACAGCGTCCCTGTGGTGCAGCATCCCCACATGACCCATCTCCGCCCCCTGCTGTCCTACAGTCCAGAAGCCTTCTCCCCTCAGAGGGCGTCTCCTGGATTCTCTCCTGAGCCTGGTAAGTCGCTGCTGCCTACTTCCTGCATTCCTGCTCCCTACGTCCGTGGCCTGCTTTCCACTTGCTGCTGGCTTCTTCCGATTTCCTGTTTCCCACTTCCTACTTTCTGCTTTCTCCTTCCTGCTTCCTACTTTCTGCTGCCTGCTTCCTGCTGCCAAGTGTCAAGACACATCTGTACAATGTTGTCTCTCCTCTGTGACTCTGACTTGTTCTTCTATTTTTTTGAAGCAGGAATGTCGAGGAGCCCTCACACTGCCTGTTATCCTGTGTCTTCTGGAGGAATGACTCCCATCCCACACCCACTGGGCTGGCTGTGAGTAACACACACACACACACACACACACTCTTACACACATACAGGCCTTGTGATCCTGTCAGTGTTAACAATAAAGCATGCAATTGGACTGAATAGATCTTCCCTTTTGGATCGAACACATCATCACTGATACACAATGTAGAATAATTTTTTTAATATTGGAATTTATATTGTATTGGTGCGTCTCTATAAACACCATAAAATATTGTACTGAGTTTCTCTGTGCATGTAGCCCATCCCTCACTGTACTGCTGGTCGGAACAGAACAGAACCTGTGTGTGTTCAACCTGGATGTTAATGGTTCTCTCTGCCTGAATGAACGCATCACTGAGACTGGATGTAGTGGAGCTGGAGTCTGGCAACAGCACGGACACTGAAGAGCAGTGATCACATGGATACGATGTGTTCGCTGATCAGAAACGCATAGGATTTTTCTCTTTCTGTTGCCTTTTGCATTCGCCTCCAGTGTTTCAGCTGTAGGGGTCTCCATTCCAACACATCCATCTTTATCTTCATTACTGAGAATGTTGAGCACCACTTTGCTAATTATAGAGGGATTTTCAAAGGTTTCTGCATGCATTCAGTTCCTCCATTTAACTGCTGTTACACTGCCATGTCCTGTTACATGCCATCCATACCACCTTCCACATCCTGCTCCTCCACACCGCGGACTTCTGTTTCCACTGAACTCGTTAAACCTGTTGGACATGCAGAGATTCCTCAGCAGAGTGTGTTCGTGCAAACCAACACATCGACCTGCTGCTACTTTGATGTGCGACTCAGAAGTCTGAAGCTAACTGAACTGTGTGTATGTATGTGTGTGTTTCTGTCTGCAGGCCGGGGCAGCCCATGTATCCCATTGCGGGGGGGTTCTCCCCTGCGGCTCTAGCCATGAATGCCTCCATGTCCAGGTATGAACTGTAAGCTTCTGATTGATGCTGGATTAATCTGTACTACTTCTCTTAGTTTGTTTCAGGTTTATCTCTCTAAATCATGTCTGATAGAGACTAGAGTTGGACTCCCAGCAGCTTTTACACAAAACCTGGACTTCTATCTCTAGCATTTATCTAGTTGTTTACAATTCCACTAGATCTGATCCAGCAGATTAACTGGATCTGCTGTAGTGTTAAATGTCTGCCACTAGAGGTCACCATAAATGTTGACAGTACAACATCCACATTGCTGCACAAAGGTCAAGTAATATTTATTCTTTTTCTAAATCATTTTCTGAGAAATAACTACATATTTGGTGCATATCTACTTAGAACAGAGGCTGACTATTAATCTCCAAAGATCTCTTTGTCATTTATCTTAAGCACACAGTCTGCACTGTATCTTGTTTTTTTCTGTTGCTGGTTAAAAAAAAAACAGCTGATATTTATAATAACTACCCCCTTGACTGAATTTCATAAGATAATTTTGTGTAAAGATGATTTAAAACTCTCCGGGTTTTAAAAACATCTAGAGAATCTAGATCTCTTGATGTTTCAAAGAGATCTCGATTCAAACTCTCTCAGATGTCCACCTGCAGCGATAAATGAAGTTCCAATCCAGGTCCAGGTTTGTCCAGGTTTGCCTCTGGGCGGTTTTCACCACTCGGGTCAGGTCGTTTTTGTCATGGACTGTGCCGTTGCACCCGGTCGTACTGAGGCAGGAGTATGAGATGATGTGAGATTCTAGTCAAGAGCCTAGCAGCAGCATTTTGAACAGACTGGTGCTGGTCCAGGGATGTTCTGTTGAACATATGTAGAGTGCATTATAGAAATTCAGATGAAAGCAAACAGACCCAAGTTTAACAGTATTTCTCAATTAACAGCAACAGAACGAAATCAGAGATCTCACATGATTTCCAAGCTTAAAACCGGAGTCAAAGGTCATCCTAAGATTTTGCCAAAACACCAGGAGGCCCAATGATCTGCTTTGTCTCTACAAATATAATTATCAGTAGGAGATATATTTAAAAAATGACTATATGGGAGCAGATAGAACAATGATCCCAAAACAGGACCCTGTGTTCAGTCTGCAAGTATGAAGACAGCTGGTCAGCTGCATCCCTAACATAATCAGTACAGAACATTTCAATAATATTCCTACAATAATAAACTGAATTCATGAATTTGCCAGATTATTTCATGTTCAACTTCCTCCCTATCTCTGAACTGTGATTGTTCCTTCCTGTTTCACATGGTTGCACACATTTTGGAGTCAGTAAACTGACACCCACCTCTTAGTGTCAGTTAAGTGCACTCTGCAGCAGGTAGCCTAATGAAACAGGACCTGCAAATTGTGGGTAGGTTGAGCCTGCTTGATAGTCAAAGGTTCAGTCAGCTGGACTGAGTGTTGCTGGACTCTACATTCATAATGTTTTTGAGTGGAAGAATTTACTGATGGATGAGTCATCATAACTCCTCAGTGACGGCTGGTTTGTTTTGCTGTTAGGACACCATGATGATAACCATCTCCATCAGGTTTTATGTGGCAGTTTGCCATAGTTCTGGGCCGGTCCAGACATCAGGCTGAGTCACAGCTACTGAAAGGTTCTTTGTGTTCCGGGTATGGTTTAGAACAAAACTGAACCATGAAGTTCTGCCGGTCCTACTGCGTTCTAGCTGTGCTCTTGTTTATCAATTAATAAGTGAACAGCCTTCTCAAAAAACAAAATGCGTAATTTAATGATGTTATGATGGTGTAGTTTACCACTCGTGCAATGATGAGGTCAGCAGGGTTTGATGGAACACTGAATGCTTCCTTGCAGTCTGGTGTCAAGCGGCTTCTCACCACGTTTGGTTCCGGCCCCCCAGACGTCGGTTCCCCATCCGGCTATTGTTCCCGTAGCAGTGAAGCAGGAGCCTGGAGCCAGTCACATCCAGCAGCCTGGGTAACAACAACCACACTCTTTGCAATGTTGGGCTGAGTGGCAAATCCGTTGTATCCAACTGGTGAATTCTCCGTTTTTGAAGATTTCATTTTTTAGAAACTCTAGGTGTTGTTTCCACCAGTGCATTCATTAGATTCCCATCATTAAAAGTGATGTCAGCTCACCCAAAGCAGCCATCTTGTTTGACATCTTGTTTGATGTCAAACAAGTTTTTGTTTGATGTATCTTACAGTTTCTGTTTATCTCTACTCTGAATTCAGGTCAACCCACAGAAGAAATGTCTAAAATTAAAACCAATTTTAAAAATATTTTATGGCCTTCGTAGTTTCTTTTCAAACAGGCAGTCATATGTAAAATTAACTTTTTAACATGCCATAATGTTATTCCCTCATCAAAACACACCTGAGGTGTTGCCTTGTTTCTTTCATTCTTGTTGGAGAAATTCTCTAATTCCCATTCAGCTCTGCTAAATGCCTGGATGGACCAAGCTCTGTTTTTGAGGCACAGCTCCTCCTCAGGGCTGTAGTTTCTAAGATTCCACCTCACAGAGCAGCTCTCCCCCACTCATCTCCTTAAGACTAGCCACCATCAATTAGCAATCACCTGGTGGAACTGCCCATCTATTGAGCTCATATGAGCTACTTCTCAGTGCATCGCTGTTGAAAACTTTCAAAGGTTTAAGAGGAGCCATGTTGTGATGACTTCCTGAAGTCAGAGTTCAAGAAAGAGGAACTCTGATGTTTCCTCCTCTGATCCCCTGCAGGAAGCCCCCCTCCACCTCCGAGCATGACCAGGAAGAGGAGCGGAAGCCCCACATCAAGAAGCCGCTCAACGCCTTCATGCTCTACATGAGGGAGGAGAGGCCCAAAGTTGTGTCTCAGTGCAAAGTGAAGGAGAGTGCCACCATCAACCAGATCCTGGGCCAGCGGGTCAGTCGCTTTGTTACTAGACATTATCCATAGCAAAAAAACTCCTTCGGGTAACTTGTACCAAATGTAATGGTCAGCTGGTAGGCACCATTCGGGTGTGTGTGTGTGTGTATGCTAAGTTAATTACCCTCTGCTACCATGTGTACACAGTGGCATTCTCTGTCAAAAGAGGAACAAGCCAAATATTATGATTTGGCTCGCAAAGAGAGACTGCTGCACTCAAAGCTGTACCCCAACTGGTCAGCTAGAGACAACTATGTGAGTAGACTGACTGACTGCTGAACACACACCATCACTGTTGAACACACACCATCACATTACCGCACCTGACTCATGTCTGTGCAGGGGAAGAAGAAGAAGAGGAAGAGGGTGAAGAGTGAAACTCAGTTGGAAGGTGAGATGACATATTGCTAAGTTATTCAGTTATTGTATGTTGTAGAACATGGCTATAGTGATCAGCTGTCTGTTTGGGGTTTGTAAGTTATGGAGGAACTGTGTTCCACTGCAGACACAGGAAGTTAATTGGAACATTTTTATTTAAATATGAACCACCTTAGTTTTTGTTCCTATGAAATGGTACAAATCTAGTTTTATTTTCTTCCCAACTGGTTAAACTAAAGTCTTGTTGCTTTTAAATAGGCATCAAGCAGAAATCAAACAAAAAGATGAGAAGTTTTAAACCTGAGTCAGGGAGGCTCCTCATCCAGCACAGCTTTTGTTCTGTCTGTAAGCACCAAACCAGTGCAGCAGCTGCAGACCTCTCACTTTCCCCAGACATTTATGGGTTTTGTGTTCATGTTAGTGACAGGATCTTTGGCACCTCCATCACACAGAAACACATCTATCAGTTATGTACTGCCATGATGTGCTTGTTGTGGCCAAGATGATAGGAAATTTATTTCCAGGTTTGCCTGATCTGTTCAATCTAGTTGCATCAGTCTCCACTCCACCTGTATGCATACACCCACCGAAAAATCTGTTGAACTCCATTTATCACATCAGTTATTATAAGGATGCTTATTGGTCCCCAGAAAAATAATACAAACCTGAACATTATCATTATCAGCAGACTGGAGTTCTGAAGAGGACTGGTATGAATGATGGAGCCTCAGCTTAATTGACAATTTAAAACAAGCTACTTCCTGAATCAGTCATCCAGTTATAAATGAATCATGTAGGAGCTGCTGTAACCTGGATCTGACCTGAGGTTCCAGCTTCAGCTCTCTTTCTCTCTCTTTCTTTTCTCACACTCTGTATTGTGTATGTCTGTGTGTTTATGTGCCGCAGTTGCTGCAGCAGCAGACGACTTCCCTGCACAGCTAAAGAAACCTCGAGAGGAGACTCCACACACACACACTCCGCTAACACAAGCTTCACACACACGCCCTCACCTGACGCATACACACACAGTGTCTCATCTGACACACACCCAGCTGTCCCAGGCCAGCCCTGCCTCCTCCCTGGACTCCCCGGCGACCCCCACCACGGCGCTGGCCTCGCCCGCCGGCCCGGCTGCCACACACACCGAGCACACACACTCCTCCTACAGCCACAGCGGACACGGCTCCCCCTATGGTGAGCAACTGCAGCCACTGTCCCTCACCACCAAGCCCCCTCGCACCACCCACTCAGTGGGCCGCAATACCATCACCCCAGGACCCTCCTCCACAGACACACCCACCTCCCCCCCTCCAGGAGCTCCCCTGGGCCACTGTCTCACCCCTTCTTTCTTCCCCCTCCCTCCTCCTCCCACTGATGAGTTGTCTCCTCTGAACAGCCAATCAGCTCTGAGGATCTGAAACATGAAATGTGCCTCTTTCTACATGCTGTAAATAAGCTTTTTTATTTTTTAGTTTTTACTTTTTATAGATTTGTCATATTTTATACCAGTATGAAAAGGACATATTTGGTCAATATTTGACTGCATCTAAAATCTGTATTTTTGACTATTTCACTTTTTCTACTTTCTTACTTGGAGGAAACAGGTTTTATGTGAAGTTGAGGTTTGAGATTTTTTTTTCCATTTTGTAGTGCTTCATGTTAAGCTAGTTGATGGTTCTTCATGTTAATAAATTCACACAGAATACAAACATGCTCTCATTATTTAGCCAATAAAAAATCACTTCATTTTGCTAATCGTAACTAAAAGAGGAAAGGCGACTTTGTTAGGGGGAGTCTATCAGAGAAAAGCAAACTGGATGAACAACCAATGAGATATTAAAGCAACAATGAACCTATCACTTTTTGGATTGAGAAGGATACTGGAGTACCCAGAGAGAACCCAAGAATCCACTGGTAGAGCATGCTAACTATGAACCTGAATCTTAAGCGTTAAACCCAAACTTCAGCTTCTTCTGTCACCAGCTTCAACTGCAGGCCTCTATGTAGCATCTGTAAAGATCTATGCTTCTATGGAGACAACCTGTAGTCTATTTCCAGTCTGTTAATTAAATCAGGACATGGTTAAACCTGTCACAATAAGCAATAAATCAGTCATATGATTCATTAAAATGGGCTGAACAATTTGTATATTCATATTTCTATGTTTTCTTTGTCTCTGCCAGAGAGACTGGATGACGAAGGCTTTCACTCCGGAGCATCGGTCTCAACTTAACCCTACCCCATACGTTTCCTTAGCATAAGGGGGAGTGAACTTTGACCTCCATTACTACATGACCTCATACCAGACTAGCCCAGTAAGGAGGAGCAGGCCACTTTTTATTTACAAAAGTCCCCATCTGAGACACCGGCTCCAAAGAGAAAAATCTGAGTGGCTGAGTAAAAATCTAGATTTAAATTCAATACATGCATTTTAGTTTGACATTTGACACACACACATGCACACACCTACACACACATGCACATTCAAAAACCTTAAAACATTGCTATAAAACAGAGTTTGCCAAAATCTCTGGCTTAGGGTGATGCTAAAGATGCATGGACAATTACTAAATTTGTCCAGAGTGGAACAACTAGTCCCAACTGGTTTAAGAGGAAATTTATTTTTCCCACAGAACCTGCTGGCTTTGGGTGTTTTTATTTATTTATTTGTTCATGTTGGCTTTATCCCAAAATTAACATTTGTTTAACATTACTTTAAGTGAGACAAATAAAGAAAAATCAGAAGAGATCTGTAAGCAATAAACACCTTTTCAAAGCACCGACCCATTTCCTGACAGACCATAAATGAATTAATGCTTACAGGTGAAGAGCGACTCATGCTGTTGTGTAAAATGTCTGGTCTCGTTTATCGGAGCACGCTGAAGGAAAGAGACACTTCCGTAATTCAAACAACTCAGGAGCAGAATCCATACAAGGAAGTAGGCGGAAATAAATGCGTGTTCACAGATTTCCTTGACTGATTTGGTTTGGCTCCAGACAAGAGGAGAACCAGTTCAGATGGATGATGCCATGCTTGGGTTGAACGAGGCCAGGGACGTGTTTGATGAGCAGGTGAAGCTTGAAACGAAGGCTGTCTCTCAGAATGGTAATCAGAAGATCAGGAACCTAAAACCAAGACTTTCCCTCACAATAATATTTTCTGGAATCCTCCCAAAAAGTAAAAAACATAATTCTTATGTGGTAGAATCAATCGGAGCTACACAACAACGTTAGTCATATATTTAGAAGGGTTTTAGAATCCTGGCTCAAAATCATCTCTTTTCCTATTGAACATCTATTCAGTTGTATTATCTATTTGTTGAATATCTTGAAATAGATTGAGTATTTGATGTGGATGTGGAAAAAATTCAATATTCAAATATTCTATTTTAGAATTATGTAATTTATTTCTAGTTGTTGGACTTGGCAAAGAGCCAGACAGGACCTTTTATAAACCCTGGGATGGTTCTTAATGAAAGAACGACAGAATCTCTGAAAGAAGTTCAGTTGCTACATTTCTCCAACATGGATCAGAGGCAAAATTGGTCATCATCATTCTGTTTCATTCAACAGACAATCAGTGTGATAGATTCCTGGACTTTCAGAGCTAAAATCAACTCTTCTGCTCCAGCTAACAGCTGGGCTGAGCCAGTCTGGAATCTCACAGCCACTTCATTCCTTCCCCTCCACCATCCAAACAGAGATCCTGGAGATCATGAGGAAAATGAAGTTCTCCAGGTGTGAGCTTGACCCCTTTTCCACTGCCCTGGTTAAGGCACATGTTCCAGTATTGCTCCACCGATCACCTCTATAGCCAACCAGTCCCTCCAGTCTGGATGTGTTCCAGCCCTACTCAAAAGTGTCAGAGTGAAGCCATGACTAAAAAACAATCCACCCAAAACCCAGGACTCCTCACTGACTTCAGAGCTGTGGCTCTAGATGTTACGTTTGAAGTTTCAGGTTGTTGCCACATAAATACATCACAGCAGCTGTCTCTATCTGGGTTCAGATCTGCACATCCTGCAGAATCAGCTTTGATAAGAGTAACCCTAAATTACTCTGGTTAATTTTTTTTTCACCTCTTTCACTTACAAGTGAAAGAGATAGAATGAGTATTTCATATCTAATGAACTTTGAGCACTCCATTTCTCAGAAGTCAGCAGACATTCAGTAACTAATTAATATATTCCCCCCAAATTACAGTTCTTGTTCTACAATCATAAACAGTAAGTATATCCATTTAAAATGTTTTTGCTCATTAAACCCATTATTTTAAGGTTTTACTGTTTTAGTGTTTGGACTAAGACAGTACACATTTTAGTCCAAACTTTTTATGATTGTTTTAACAAATAAAAGTTAATGACCAAAGAGTAAAGTGTACAAAACTTCAGGGTTTTGTCCACTTTAATTCTCCGGTTAATGGAATATGACATTGAGGATGACCACAATTTAACTGTATGTGCTGCAAGATGAGTAGAAAACTTGGCCAGCCCAACTGTTCTTTCACTTTATATGTTACAGATTATATTGATGAGTTTGTAATAGTAAAACAATTTAAGATTTTTGCTTTTTCAAGAGTTAAGTTTTTATTTTTTTTATGTTATTGAACCCTTTGACATTTTGGGAGATTATTTTAAAATCATATTGACACAAAGAGACTCTTTTTGTAATGTGCTATGTAACAACTCATTTCCAGAAAAACACACGTTTACTTCTCGATACTTTTATGTTTACTGATCATGCCAGTCTTCATATGTGCCGAGTCAGCAGGCAGGGGAACTGCTCCCTAACTTAGTGAAACAATTCGTTGTCTAACACTCTGTGAAACAACCAATGATGTGGCAGATATTGTTTCCGCATTATTGTCTTTCTCCGTTTCTGCAAACGGGAACACATCTCTGGTCAGTCGTGTCAGAAAGCATGGCATCTCTTTCTTCCCGCCGTACTTCCTCCCTCTGGACTCGAAGGTGTAGGCAATCCTGTGGGAGAGTCGGGTCATCAGCCGAGTCAGCTCCAGGTTAGAGTGACCCTTCTCTTCCAATAATGAGCAGAACGTCTGCAGGAAGACTGACCCAGTGAAGTTTATGAACGCACTGTACCCTGAAGGAAAAGACAAAATATTTATAAACTGATTCATTTATGTTCATGTATGATTTATGTCAGATTTCACTTTTAATAGACTGGTGCTTCTAAGTTGCTTCTTTAAGTTACCAGTCTAACTGGTTATTAACCTGGTGCTGTGGAGAACATCACAGCTGTATCCACAGGAACAGAATGGCAGTGTGGGAAACTGCTGGCTGGTGAATCAACCTCCACTCCATCATCCAGAGCGCCGCCCTGGCACGCCTGCAAGGGTGGAATGGAGATGCATCAAAACAACCAAGAAAACATCAGCGTGAGGAAGAGTCAAAGTCTTCTGTAATTTGTTTTCAAATTAAATCGTCACTGCTGTGCTGTTTGTGTGTCACTAAGAATAGAGGCATACCTGTATGAGGAACAGTTTGGTCTTTTTCTCCATGCATTCATTATCAAAGTAAGTGAAGACACGAGACAGTCGGACAGGTTTCCCATCTGATCCGAACACGCAGCCCTCCTCCCCGTGAGACGACAAGACAGCCAGGAAGCAGTCCTTCACAGGCCGCCTGCTTTCTGAGGCGATGCAAACACCCAACATTACTGACATGAGTGAGTGACGAAGGGAGTAAGTTAAGCAACAAGCATCATGTGATTGTACACAATGTTAAGAGTATTAGGAATGTGTTCAGTTAACGTGCCTTCCTGTATAACAGTCATTGAACTGTGTTTAATTATGGGGGTGTTGACAGAGAAACAGGCACCAGGTGTTCCTGCACTCCTCTTTCATTCATCTCAATCAGTTGTTTTACCATAAAGTTTTTTAAAGAAAAGCAATATATTACAGGCTGAACCTTGAGGCTTTCCTAATGATTCATAGTTTTCTGACTCAGTGTTATGTAATCCCAACTGGAAAACTAACTTTTCAATAATGTATTATTATTATTGTTTATTTGATTTTTAATCACCCATCAAAATCAAATATTCCCTGATTCAGCTGGTATAGGCAACATGTTATATATGAGACCTGAAGTTTTTGTCTGGCTTGATTTTTTTTTTTTTAAATAAGTTGCAAAAAAGACTGATTAAAACATCCAATCAAGAACACATTTCACAGACCTGCTGGTTCAGTTATTCTAGACTGCAACTCACTAATGCAAAGCTTTTCCCAGGATATGTGGAGCTTTGAGACCTTTAAGTTCAGCTGATCTTTGAAGGGATGGAACCAAAGAGAGTGGTCGTTCTCCATGGCTCAGGCAGCTTCATCCACACGTTTCATTTTCTATATTGATATACAGCTTAGAAAAAATCAGACCACCACTTGTTAACATAATACAACACGTTTTAGCTAATTTTAGAGAAACTGTCATGGGAATCATCAGTCTAGGGAAAATTGAAACTGAAACTAGGTTTGCAACGTCCTTCAGGAAATCTGTGTGTGAGTCTGTCAGCTTTGGTATTTGTCTACAATCTGATCACATCCCTTTTCTAGTTACAGTAAAAAATGTACATGAATCCAAATAAGAAGGAAAATAAAGAACGCCCATTTGCTCTCTACAGAGTTAAAAGAACTCAGAAGTTGACATTGATGTGTTACCTTCAGAGAACAGATTATAGATTTCCTTGCTGCTCAGGTCCGTGTGAAGTTCCACCTTGTAGCCCAGTTTAGTTAGGATGCGGTGGAGCTTCTTATCATCACAGTTGGCCCCGGGCCTTTTTCCTAAGGGAACCCCATAGTCAAAGTTTGCTACAGACACCAACACGGCCCTGTTGCACTTCTCTGGTCTGTCCATGATTCCTTTCCACACTGGCATGTAGTTTATGTGAACTTCTGTCTATCAGCTTCAATGTGTGCAGTATCTCTGTTAGACTTCGAGTCTGTGTATCATTCTCCATTCAAACTCCAGGTCAGCTATAAATCTCTAACCACGCCTCTTTGACAACACACCTTGTTGGTTGAGTTGCAAAGTCACATGATTTGAAATTCCATTGTTGCAACATTTACTCTTCCGGAAAGAGTTTCCTCTTTCCACAGTTATAAGAAATGCTAGGAAACAGATTCCTGCTTGTTGCATCTGATTAACTTTCATTTCGTTCCAATCTGTGATCAAAACTCTCAAAGCCAAAGTTTTGAGAGCAACAATTCAGGCGTTTACATCTGAATGATGCTGCAGTGTCATTCAGGCGTAAATGTTCTGATCTGTCAGAACATCAGCAATCAGCTTTGAGAGGAATACTGATGTTGACAGGAAAATAAACAGAGGAATCTCGTTGTTCCAGAATCTCTGTGTCTTTTCTCACACACACTGAGGCTGAGAAAAGAACACATCAAATTTCTTTTCCATTGTATCCTAAAGAACTCGCAGTTCTGAAAGGGTTTCCATCTTGATAAAGTTCATAGTTATTGTTCTGGTAGTTGAACTGCTCCTGGGTGAATCTGGGGGCCTGCCATGGCCCCAAGACTATGGTCCTGGTCAATACATCCCAGGGTTCTGGGTCAGTGTGTGCACTGGCCTCTGCCTGGATCTGGCTCAGGGGCCTTTGATGCATTCGTGGACCTTGGGATATTTTAAACTGGTGGAGAGATTTCTACCATACCATTGCAAGTGCTCTCTGCTTTAAGGAGTGCATTATGTTTCTGTTGGTTCATTTATGAATACATTGGAATATGCATAGAAGCTAGCTATTTCACTCTTTTTTTTTTTTACTAGTATTTCTTTGGTGTTTTTTTGGCAGAACCAGACATTTAGCTGTGTGTGATGGCTGCTGTTACAGCCATGCAAATGTGGTAACATTTAATCACATCACACACAATAGTTCTCGCAGTCTCACCACACTTATATTTGGGTTTCTTTAAAATCTAGGATTTAACTTACAGAATAACAGCTTTTTGTTTAGAAGGCAACACATCATAACACTGGATTCTAGAATAAGTGCACACATTTTAGTTTACACTGTGATATGTTTTGCTTGATTTAACCTTTGTTTGTTTTGAGTTAATAGTGCTCCAGTCCTTCAGGGGAACAAAGAGGTGGGACTGCAAATTGGTCCATACCACAACTCAGCATTAAGGGTGCAGAAAGATGGGGGATTCTCTAATGTTAGTTTCAGTTTGGTTTCTCCCCTTTGTGTATTCTGTGACCTGATCAGCCAGTACTTAAGTTTTCCCTTTGTCTCATTTAAAGAGGTCTGTTTGTTTGAGTTGACGTCTGTTACTTTGTCTTCTTTTATGGGCCCAACTTTATCTTTTTTTTTTTATTATTATTATTATTTACCCAAGTTTCTGTTTTGGGTTAAGAAAAAAGCAATTGTTTTTGATTTTAAGCTTATGCCTGGCTCAACTTTGACTGCTCGGACACTGGGTATGACAGCCAGAAGGAATTATGGTTTGGAAGGCTTTAGGAGTCTTGTAGATCTGTCTCATTGTTCTCAGTGGACTTCAGTTTAGTTTTTATGGACGTACAAGATAGAAAATCAAATTTTGAAAGTAGAAAAACAGATTCAGATTTTACAGTAAACAAGGTAAGTTGCACAATGTTTTGTTATCAAAAGTTGGTAAAACATTGTTTTTGATCACTCAAGGTATACAGTATGTGTCACTTTCTTTTTTTTGCCAGTGTTAGGAACCTGGAAGTTGATGGAAACAAGAGAGTTTGGACATTTAAATCTGTTATCAGAAGACAACAAAATACTAAAATACGAATGAATGTTTTAATGGACTTTTGACACCTGATGAAACAGACTTTTTAAAACAAACATGCATTAAGGAACCTCCGTGACCAAAATTATTGATTTACTTTGTAAAAGTAATGTGCAAAGCAGCAACAAGTCAACATTTTTTTTTTTACATCTGTTACAGAACAACATGACGACACCTTCATCATATTTAGAGTTTATCACATATTAAAGACAGTTAACAGCAAAACTTTGCTAATCATACATGGTATTATTGCATTTAATGCTTCAGTACCTATTAATAATCCTGTTCTTTCACACAAATGTTATTTTTGTTCAATAAGAGATTATGTTCCATTGTTGTACGCATTGTTTTATACTAAAGGATTTGTTTATAATTCTCAGTGAAATATTTTTATTTGTTTAGAATGTTTCACAAAACAGTTTATTTTTGTATTTCCATATCACAAAAAGCGTAATAAAGGAGAATTGGTCGTATGCTGTCCGTAAGGAAGCAATACTTCATGATTTCCACCAGGGGGCGACGAGGAACCTGCGGTTTCCTGTGACGTAGGTTAGATGCGCCCGCAGTTGTCCCCGGCTCAGTTTTACTTTAGACAAGCTGGAAGCCGAAAGCTGGACATTTTAACTGACCTTTTTGCTGGACAGTCAGAGCAGAGGACAGACTGGACATGTCTGTTATATTTTTCAGAAGAATGTGCTCTTGTTAGGAGCTGGTCTGTCTTCTCCATATGCTTCCAGAGTCTGACGTGGTTTTATAGGCTTTCACAACAATTATAGTGTTTTAATGGAACGAAAAGACATTTTCCGACCGCGCAGGAAGGAGGACATCCCGGACAGGTGAGAGACATCTGCCAGGCAGTTTGTAGATCTGTCTCATTGCTCTCAGTAGGTTTTGGTTAAGTTTTTACGGACGTACGAGGAAGAAAATCTAATCACAACTGAAAAGAAACCAACAATCTTTCCTTTGGTTCTGTTCCTGTGTGAGAAACCCAACATCAATTCACCACGTTATTAAAAGAAAGAAATGAATGAGAAACCAGCCAGCAGGTCAAATACTGAAACGTCTGATTCTTTTAAATTCAGTAAATTTGTCAAACTAAGCCCTCCCGCCATTTCTGTCGAGTAAAATCATCAAACTATATTTGTTATTTTATTGATCATTTAGTTCTTGACTTCTTGGCGAGCAACTGGACAAGGTTTTGTGTTGAAGACCCCCTGTGAAGATAGGTCAACATCTCGGAACCAGAGATGCTATTCCACACTAACATGTCCTGGATGACACCATTAGTTGCTGCTTATCCACCTCATTTGCTTTGCTGCTGCTCTTCAAATTTCTTCCTGGTATTGTGATTTGAATGCCAGGCAGATGGAGTTGGGTTATGATGGATGGAAGAGATGGTTCACATTTCTTCCTTCTCTCTGCTCCATGGAACCTCCTGATCAACTCCTCTGATGCTCAGGTGTTGTCTGAGCATTGGAGCCACTAATCAGCTGCTGTACAGTATCCAGAACCAGAGTGAATTATTGTCCAAACATGAAACACCTCAACCCAGGCAAATGATGCACTAAAGTAGAAAAAGAACTAACGTAACAAAGCTGCTCCATCAGGTTGCCACGGTGAGTGGTGCCATTCTGTACATTGACATTGAAGAAGAATTAAGCTGGCAGCTGGCTGTTCAATGGAAACGACAGAACACACACGATGATTCGTCTTTCTGCAGCTGTGCTTGATGCCTGCTTTATTGCTGTTGTTTGTTTTCCTGAATGCAAAAGAAAATGAAAATGGTTTTGAGTTCTTGATCGATTTGTCTCCGATCAGATACATTCAAGGGAAAATTGACCAGTACTGCATGATTTTTATTTTATGTTTTTACAAGGTTCACAATTGGTCTTAAAAGCTTTGTAAGACCAATTATCCATTCTAATGTTTCTAAGGAAAATAGAATGGATAATTGTTAGTGATTCTAGACTGTAGCTGATAAATGCATTCTCCTAACCTCTGTGGGCTTTAGACAACTTTAGATCAGGTTTAAGCCAGACCTGTGGTTCTTTATCTCTGTTTTATTTAGTCTTTAGAAACAGTTTAAATACATCAGAAAGTTGCTTTGAGGGACACAGCAGTAATCAGCGATGGAGGTCATGGGCCTTGTTTAACAGGTCTGAATGTTACAGATCTGGTAGTGGAGCCCATCGAAATAAATCTGTGAACTAACCACTTGCTACAGACCTGAAGCAGAAGCTGTCCTAGACATTGTGTGTTTTGTGATTTGAAGCACACTAAGAGAGAGTCACAGAGACAATCATGGAGACAGACAGTGTGACTGTGGGTTTGTGTCCAACAGGTGGCAGGACTACACAGCGATGGGGAAGAGACTGAAAGGAACTCGCTTCATCGCCTTCAAAGTCCCTCTGAAGCAGGTCAGCAGCGTGTCACAGTGGACTCTGTGGGAACAGAAGTGTGTCTGTTTTTAGCAGTGACAATCTGTCTGCTTCTGCTCAGGCTTTGATTAGGACGCTTCCACCCTCTGAGGTGTTTGGTCCCTGGGAGCTGCTGGATGCTCTGAAGGAGGACAACCATGAGCTGGGGCTGATCATTGACCTGACTTTCACCACACGTTATTACAATCTGCAGGTGAACACACACGCACATGTATGCACACACACACACAGTTGTGTTTTTGTGACTTGGGGGTACTTTACATTGACTTCCATTCACTTTTTACAGCCTAAACCCTTAACCCAGAGGTGCCCAAAGTTGGTCCTCGAGGGCCGGCATCCTGCATGTTTTAGTTCTGTCCCTGGTTTAATGCACAAATGATGGCTCATTAGAAGGCCTAACAAGAACACTGACTTCCGTTGAATTAGTCCCTTACTTCAACGGTCCCTTAAGACGGACGTGTTGTGAAGCTGCTGAAGTTGAGGCAGTATGTGTGCGTGTGTGTGCACGTGTGTGTGCATGTGTGTGTTTCTGCAGGACCTTCCTCAGTCACTGCAGTGCGTGAAGATCTACACAGCTGGCCATGAGGTTCCCAGTGACCAAACCATCCTGAGCTTCAAGCGCACCGTCCGCAGGTTCCTCCGAGACAACCAGGATAACGGTGAGGGAAGAGCTGAGCCACAAATAGACAATAAAATCAATAACTAAAGAGTTGGTTTTAATGAGATAACTTTCTAAAAAAAGTTGACCTACATTTCTGTCCTTGTTCATCTCTTTTTCTATTTGTTTAATCATCAAGTTCTCTTGCAGACAAGCTGATCGGGGTCCATTGTACCCATGGACTGAACCGCACTGGCTACCTGATCTGCAGGTAGGTTCATCCAGACCACTTGCAGCATGAGCAGGAGCCACAGGCTGCTCTAACTGCTGCGTGTGACCTGCAGGTATCTGATCGACGTGGACGGGATGGACCCGGCCCAGGCAGTGCAGCGTAAGTCTCGTGCGTTCAGATCCCAGCAGGAGGATTCTGTGATCCATCTCACTCTGCTGCTGTTCTCTTCAGTATTCAACTCATCCCGGGGCTACGCTATCGAGAGACAGAACTACCTGGATGACCTTCAGCACGGTCCAAAACGGAGGTGACGCATCATGTCCTTGTCCACCAACCCAGCAGTCCACTCTCACTTTCTGATCAGCTTATCAAGCCTGTTTCCATCCAGGCAGTGACACTGTCATTCCTCGTCCCTCATTTCCTGCATTATCTCTGTCAGTTAAAATAACTGATTTTTTTTTTTACATCTGGAGGAGAAATTGTTGCTCTACACAGGGAGCAGCTCCTGACCCCTGTGACCCCTGTGACCCCTGGATCATTATAGTTGGGAAACAGAGTTTACTCATCTGAATGTTGGAAACTTGTTCTGCGTTTGTTAAATTGTGCAGAAAAATTTTACCTAAAACATTTTTCATGCTTTTGAGTGATTTTTATTGGCTGATTGCTGGGTGACCATTTTCTCTGATTGTTACCATAGTAATGCGGGCATGGAGAAGTGTGAGAAGGAGCCACAGAGAGGCCAGGCCGTCCAGCGGCCGCCTGCCGCAGCTTCCACCAGGAGAGTCTACCGCAACTCCTACAGGTACATCCATCCCTTTAAGGACATGTCACTGTCCCTTTAAGGACATGTCACTGTCCCTTTAAGGACATGTCACTGTACCTTTAAGGACATGTCACTGGCCCTTTAAGGACATGTCACTGTCCCTTTAAGGACATGTCACTGTACCTTTAAGGACATGTCACTGTCCCTTTAAGGACATGTCACTGGCCCTTTAAGGACATGTCACTGTACCTTTAAGGACATGTCACTGTACCTTTAAGGACATGTCACTGTACCTTTAAGGACATGTCACTGTCCCTTTAAGGACATGTCACTGTACCTTTAAGGACATGTCACTGTCCCTTTAAGGACATGTCACTGTACCTTTAAGGACATGTCACTGTCCCTTTAAGGACATGTCACTGTACCTTTAAGGACATGTCACTGTCCCTTTAAGGACATGTCACTGGCCCTTTAAGGACATGTCACTGTACCTTTAAGGACATGTCACTGTCCCTTTAAGGACATGTCACTGTCCCTTTAAGGACATGTCACTGTACCTTTAAGGACATGTCACTGTACCTTTAAGGACATGTCACTGTCTCAGGTTCCTTGGAGCAGGTTGCCGTAGGAACATCTGACAGCTTTCTCAGAAGGTGCAACATATTCCTTCCCACTGGCTCAACTCATTTCAGAACCGCTGACATTTTACTGTAACTGTGAAAATAAATGTTTTCATGTAAAATGTGAAAACATTAAAAATACATAAAATGTTTTATCAACCCACAATTTTTGCTAAAATGTAAATAATAATTATCTACGCTGTATTTTGTATATTAAGACATGAGATATCAGAAGAAATCTAGAACACTTCTAAAAGCGAAAGAAAATTCTTTGGTTTCAAATGCACTGTTCCAATAATTCTAAATCAGAAATGAAATATTCATAAATGTTAGAGGACTTGTGACATAAAACATTTAAAGCATAAAAGTGTCTTTATACAAAATATTTAAACATATTTTAGTAATCCAAACACATGGTTTAAAAAAAGTTATAAAAAATGTAAAAACTTCTCATAAAGATATTTTAAAAATGCCTCGGAACATTGTTCTTAAAATGTAAATATGAATCATTGATTTAATTATTATTGAATGTGATCGTCTAAAAAAAATAAAAATAAATGTTTAATTTAACTTGAGTAAGAAGAAAATCCCAAAGAACAAAGCAAATATGTTTATAGAAGTGAAGTAGTATTCATTCTTGTTTTGTGAATCCTGCAGGTCACATCGGCATGAAGGACCGAGTCACCGCTCTCACCCGTACTCCCCTCAACCCGCCCACACACCCCACACCCCATTACTTCCCCGCCCTCCATTACTCGCTCATCTTCCTCTGGCTCCTCCACCAGCCTTGTTCCAGCCCTACAAATGGGCCCCTCAGCACCCAGCTCAATGGAGCGCCCCTCACTCAGACACCAGCAGGTTCAGGCACCCCCCTCCACCTGACCCACAGTGGCACCCCTCCTTTGCCTTGCTAGACAGAGGTGGAGCTCTTCCCAACCTTCCACACGACTCCCCCAACTGGACATCTGTTGCTTATGGAGACGGTTCAGCTGAGGGCAGGAGTGGGCCAAATTTAAGGAACCCGGTCAGAACCTCCCAGAGACCCAGCGCTAACAGATACGATGGCTATTAGTTACCAAGACAAAGCAGGTTAAAGGGGACATAACGTACAAAACCCATTTTTTAGCACTTAAATTCAGTTTTTTGGTAATTTGAGTCTCTAGCAGAGCTGCGTGTTCCTGTTGCAGTCCAGGCTTTCAGACTGTCCTCACTGTTTGAGCTAAACCTAACATTTAACTCAGTTTGTTCGTTCAGATTGATCCTGTCCACAACAGATCGTCTCACCAAAACTCCCCTAAAAAGTCAATTCAACTGAATCATAAACACATTCAAAGTCAAGTTCAATTTATTTTTCAAACTGGTTCAACAGTTTTCTAAGGAAACCCAGCAGATTGATTCCTCCTGGCCCAAAATGTAGTGACAGCACAAACAGATTTGCCTTTTTAAAGAATTCTTTTGACTTTAGTCGAATTGATTATATTTTTTCGACTAAAGTGGGTTTTTTGACTCTAATGGTCTTTATTTTAAAGTGCTCAGCCAGGAAAGTATAAATTGAGAGGAAGGGAAGACATGTAGCAAAGGTCAACAGGCGAGGACCCAGGCCTCCTTATGTGGGTTGTGCTTCCCCCTTGGACAATCATTGCACCCTGTCTCTTGTGGTTTTTATTAAGATTTATTTTGATTCTACTGGTTTGTATTTGAAAGGAAGTGGGCAGAGAGAAAGGGGAGAGATGGGACTTGAACTCATTGAGGTCTCTGTATAATTAGAGCCTGGCATCCGGCCCACTCTAAACACTGCGCCACACAGCGCCCTGGAATGTGCCTTTTTTACAGGAAGAAAGCTCCAACAGAACCAGATCCGAGCTCAGTGTGAATCTGCTGCAATCGAGTGGAGGAGGGCCGGCCCAAGCCACCATTGGGCCCTAAGCAAAATTTGGTTTTGGGGCCCTCTAGTTCTGCTAAAGATGTGGACTGGCTGCAATCAGCAGTCTGATCATTAGATCATTCATACACCTGCTATAAACTTATTGCATCTCCGTCAGTGCTGTTTACATTATATACATATATAATATAGGACACATTTATTGGCCAATCGATTTATCGACCAATTGATTTCTGGGTGCCGATTTCCTTAATTTTGGGGGATCGTGATCTGCTAATACTTACATATGAAGCCCATCTTATCCACCAATTTTATCATCAGCAAAGGTTTAAAAATCAGCCTCTGTCCTCTTCTGCTCTACAGTGAGAGGTTTGACTGACAGACCAGCCCAACAGGTCAAGTCTGCACATTAACATGTTTGCAGTTAACGATATTCATCCCACTGTTGCTAACTCAGTGACTTTCTTGCTATATTTAGCAACATTTCAGACAAAACAAAAATTCATATCAGCCAAAATCAAAATCGGCAGGTCAGGCTTTTTAAAGATCAGTAACCAGTGAAGATTGGCCAGAAAACTGCAAACGGTGCAGCCCTACACATTTATTCATGACATTCTTTGATTAAATACATTTCTCTTAAGCATTACTTCAGTAGCTAAAAATGTAATTAATACCAGGTGAGTCCTTGAGAAGTTTTAATTATTGTTATCAAATGTTATCAAGCACTGCGTTTTGATGCCAAAAATACGTCAGAAAAATACAAAGCCAACCATGAGAATCAACTCATTAAAAATGTAAACTGTTTCACACAAACACAAAGACCCTTGCATACATGTTTGGCTGTTTAACTGGACCGTTCCAGGTCGCTTTACAAATCGTTTACATTACCAAGACACACCCTAAGCGGCTGCTCGGTTTGGTTATGCCTTGGGCCGGCCCTGGAGTGGAGATGACGGCAGAGACATTAGCTGTGTTAAGAGGAGCACAGTTCTGGTACCAGCTGCTGCCTTCACTGGTTTTTGTTTTTCATCAGATTTTTTTACTGCATATAAAGATATCCTTTTTACAACTCTTCCCCTAACTGATCCAAATAAAACTTTATTTCATTGTAACTTTCAGTTTGGCTTTTTTGTGTTGTTTAAAGCAGTCTTAAAAGTCTGACTTTGGGTGAAAACCATTTGAGGATGTTTTTCAATTTTTGTGCTAACAGAGCCTTATTTTTCCAATTATTGAATGTGATCATCTCAGATGCACATTTATCTGTTTTCCTTATAATAAAAATGACATTTTTACTGTGTTTTTGTTGTGGAACAAAATGATTTGCCGAGTTCATGCCAGTATAGTCAAACCGTCAGACTGTATCTGAGAAGGCATAATATTTTCTGAATCATCAAAGGGTTAAAGGTCACAGGTTGCAGATGTAGAAAAGGCAACTGTTGCATGGTCTGCTGCTGCAGAGTGCATTGCTGCCAGTGCTGAGCTCGTCCATCCGTCAACCAGGAAGTAGATGAAAGGTAACCTGACAGTTCTGGACTCCTGGACAAGAACAGGCGAGAGCCAGCAGGGGCCTGCTGGACAACCTGGACACATCACTACAGCAGAACAGTTCTCCTGTATGGCTGTAATGTAATTTTACAGCTGAACATTGAACTTTCAGAGTCGCATAAAGACAGTTACAAAGTCGGCCTCTATCATCTGAAGAACATTTCCAGGATTAGAGGACTAATGTCTCAGGTCTTCTGGTTCTGGTCTGCTTTGCATCCAGAACCAGAACCAAAAAAAAAATAAAGAAGGAAAAGAAAGCAGACATTCTATTCTAGTAAGACTTTTGCACACAAGTAAGTTACATTAACTTCAGTTCGCTGTTACTTTAATATTTTAAATATCTAAAAGTATAATATTATATATTAATATATGTTACTCAGAAAGTTTAACCACTGTAGATGAAAACACAAGATTAGAATCTCTTTGCCAAATATAAATTACCTTTTTATGAGCTGCAACAGCTGCGGTGTGCGCATGCGCCTCAGCTGTCACGATTCGACCATCGCTGCGGCTTCTGCGGTGGAAACATGGCGATGCGGGCGCTCAGAGGGATGGTGAACGGGGCCATGACCGAGTTTTCATCGGCCGTCAGCGGGAACAGACCGACGGCCGCCGCTCCGGTCCACCCGGCCGCCGCCTCCGCCTCCAGGGAGCATGCGATGGCTGTGAGCCGGGATTACATCTCCCAGCCCCGCCTGAGTGAGTGTGTGGATGATGATGCTGATTGTTTCTGAAAGCGCAGAAGAAGGTCAGAAAGGTGTCAGTCACTGAACATCATCTGTTAACAGCTGATACAGAGATGAATCCTTTGCTCACTTTAGTCTTTCTGTCCTCGGGTTTTCCAGCTGATTCAAACCTTTTTGGAAATGGTTTGGGACTTAAAGTGACAGTAAACATTACAGCAACTTTGTCTCAGTGAAGGAAAGCCCAGGCTGCTTTATACTGGCCACTGGTTTTATGGAGGGCTTGGGGCAGAATTTGATCTCTACCACCTGCCCCCGAGTTTCCTGAACATTACCAAAGCTTCTGGGTTTATAAAGCCAGAACTTTGCTAAAGCAAGTCAAAAAATGAGAAGGCTTTGCTGTTTGCTGCACTGTGTAACCAGGCAGACAGCTGTTAGAGAGAAAATGGATTTGCTTTCTGACTTCGATAACCTTATGCCTTTTATTTTTCACAGTGCTTCACTTGTGTCAGCATATTCTGCCATCCATATTGATTCCATCCAGTTATTTAGTTCATAGGTCATTAATCTCAATCCTAATCTATTTTCAGACATGTAAACTATTCTGGACCCAGACATTGAACAGCATCAGCATACAGAAAGATCCCCATCAGCAGAACAGACCAAGATGTTGAAGAGATAAACAAAAGAACATTTTCTGCACCATCAGCATCTATAAACTTTGACCATGACTAAACCTTGACCACAAACGTCTTAGAATTGAACAATGACCCCAGGCCTACAACCAGATTAGCTCTCTACATTTGGAGTGGAAATCAAAAAGCCTTCAAATATCCAATAGAAAATCTGTTTTCAGCATTGAAATACATTCAAAGAATTCAAATTGACTTCATGTCAGTGAGAAAAATCATTTTGGTTTTAGGTGTGTTTTAATGAGGCTGTATTTCACTGGGTTGCTGCTCTCTGTATTTCAGCCTATAAAACTGTTTCTGGAGTCAATGGTCCTCTGGTGATCTTGGATCAAGTCAAGGTAAGAAGCAGAGATGTGTGTAGAATCTGGAAACTATTATTTTGTCCACATCAATCCAACTATGATTGGACTCACCTCTGCAGACACCTGAAGCCCAGCTCAGAATGTTTCACACCAGCAGTTTGTGGCGATTCAGTGGATGACATCAGATGGGTTTCTACTGCAGAGTTAATTTGGAATAAAATAAGATTCTTGAGTCTTTGTCAAACTGTGACATATCAGGACTATTCAGTTGGTTTTGATATGGAACATGCATGGAGGTGTTAATGCTTGCTGGTCATGTGTCACTTGAACAGTTTCCAAAGTACGCTGAGATTGTCCATCTCACTTTGCCTGATGGTACCAAGAGGAGTGGGCAGGTGCTGGAGGTCACTGGCTCCAAAGCTGTGGTGCAGGTGAGACTGACATTTCCAAACCTTCCAAACAATTCAGTGCTTTGTGTCTCAGTGGGAAATCTTAACATATCAGGTAAAACTAAGAAAATAGAAAAAAAAAACTGTAAAATAAAAACATTTGCTTTAAATATTAGGATATTAAAATATGTTTAGTTGCATAATGTGAATAATCTTACATTATGCAGTCGACTGCAAAAAGGAAAAATATGTAGTCGACTTTCCCTAAAAAGGCACAAATTAGTAATATTTGAAAGAAAGTACCCTCCACCACTAACACCACTGGAACTTAAAGTTGGTCTTCTGTTGCCTATCAGTTGAAGAACAATCATTAGCATGATTCCCAACTATAAAAAAATAAATTATTGTACAAAGCATGGCATCTTTATTGTATAAAGATTATTACTGCATAATGATAAGTGACCTGAAACAGGAACAGTCTAATTGGATTTATTGTGAGATAATGATAGAGAAAAATGTATTTCTATGGTGCATGTAAACTTCTGGTTTCAGCTGCATAACACTGTACAGAAAAAAGGCAATAGCTTCAGTACAGTAATAATATTATTACAGAACCATGGAATGTTTATTTGGAAATTAATAATTGTGCTGTAATTTTTTAATAACTCTTGAGTCTGTTTGTATTCATAAATAATGGGAACTTTAAGGACAACCCTTGATTATTATAGCAAATCCCCTCTGAGGGGTTAGAGCAACGTCCAGAAAAACAACATTAATTCCCAGAACAACATGGGGATCAGAGCAGCAAGTCAGCACCAATGTCTTCTGGCAGCCATTAAGAAGGTGGTGTAGAGGTGGTGATTTGGGTTTTTATTGCAGCCATAGGATCTGGGCACCTTGCAGTGATTGACTTTAGCATGAACTCTCAAATATCTAGTGAAAGAGAACAAAGTCCAGGTGTTGAAAACAACTGAGGAAAAGCTTAGAAGTCACACTGATTGAAAACATCAGAAGACTTTGGGACAGCCAAAACCTTCTACCAAGAAAATGAAGCAACAGTTTGAAAGAAGATTGGGCTAAATTGTCTCCATAAACTAGACAGGCTCCATTATTACTGCATTACTCCCGCTCACCTCATGTGATAAGTTGCCATTCTGCTGTTTGTATCTAAATTCTCTGCAGGTGTTTGAGGGCACTGCAGGCATCGATGCAAAGAAGACCAGCTGTGAATTTACTGGAGACATCTTACGGACACCTGTCTCTGAGGACATGTTGGGTATATGACTTTGCTCTCCATTCAGCCATATTTAGTCTAGTGTGTTTCCTCTGAGTCAGCAGAGCAGCATTTCTCATACGGTTTCAGGGCGCGTGTTTAACGGCTCTGGCAAACCCATCGACAGAGGACCGGCAGTGCTGGCAGAAGACTTCTTGGACATCATGGGTATGTCGTGACTTTTAGTTTTCACAATATTCACTCAGTGTAAAATGCTGAAGTGAAGACTGTTTTCCATGTTTTCTAAAATCACTGTGACAGTCTTCCTCAGTGTGTTTGTCTCTGTGTATGTTGTTCCGCAGGCCAGCCCATAAACCCCCAGTGTCGCATCTACCCAGAGGAGATGATCCAGACCGGCATATCTGCCATCGATGGCATGAACAGCATTGCTAGGGGACAGAAAATCCCCATCTTCTCTGCTGCTGGGCTGCCACACAATGAGGTACACATGCATTCACCAACATTGTGTATTCCCATCTCAGGGAATCAAAACACCTAAAAGATTAGTTTCTGTCCACAAACTGGAAGACTTTCTAAGGTGTCAACAAAATGTGTGTGAATCAGGCAGAGTTCATTGTGGAGATGTACCGCTGACACTTCTATTGGCCCACAACAAATTCTGGTTTTCCTGAGTTATGGCCCACTGATTCTGTTTTTAGAAGAATAGGTAGTCCTTTATTGATAACTCAAAACACACACACAGGTCACTCAATGAACAGATAAAAATATTGACATTATCTAGAACACAACATATGTTAAAAACTCTGAGAAAAGACTTGCAGTCTGCATTACCACCTGCGAGCTGCAGTGACCTTTGACTGCTTCTTAGACTGTCCACCATGTCCATAAGGAGGGAATCATACATAGTCCATCACAGCTGGATGATGTCTTCTTCAGCTTTCTGTCTCTCACCAGCTCTTCTAGAGGGCCGCGTCATTCCTTCAGCTGACTGAGCCTCTGTAGTGAGTTTAATGAGTCTAATAGAGTCCTTCACCTTCAGCACTGCACTGTTATGGCAACTTTCATGTTTTTAGGAAGACTCAATAATAATAAAATTAGTCAATAGTAAAATGTATTCTTATGCATGTGCAGATTGTTAAAAGTGTGAAGTTTTAGTACTAATACATTAATTGTTTATTAATTATCAATACAAATGAATTCCCAGTTTTTAGAACTAGTTGTTTTTTTAATCAAAGTTGACTGAATGTACTTTTTGAATTGTTTTTCATCAGAAAAGCTGCAGTCTCTGTGTGCATGCCAAAGACAATGTAGATCTGGATCTGGGATTTCCAAACCAGTCGTGCTCTTTGACGGAGGCAGAAAGATGAATAAACTTATTTAGTATTTTCATGTGTTGCATTCACTGATCGGAAAAGGATCTGATTTTTGACATTGTGACGGGCCGTTCACCTGTCAGAGCTGATCAAGCTGCTCACTGTTCTTCTTTTTTTAATGAACCAAACAAAATCTGTATAGCCTCAGGCTTATAAACAGATTGAAGGACAAATGTTTGAGAAATACTTTATGTTTTAGTTTAATTGGGCATTTATGCAAAATGAGGTCAGCTTATGGCCAATAAAAACTGAGGTTTTGTTCTAATATGAAGAATTATGCAATGTGAGACATTTGTAAACAGTTCATACTGTTTACAGATATATCTGAAAGCATCTTAAAAATTCAACAAGGGTAAAAAAGCTACATAAAAATATTTAAGGATGAAAAAAAAAATCCTAATCAACAACACATAAAACACAAATACAAATAAAATTGGAGCCAAAACTAAAAAAAAAAAAATCAATGAAAAATCAATTTCAGCCTAAACTTAATGACATAATAAATGATGGAGAACTGGCTCCACATGAAGTGGGTTCGCCCTTTCAGGACCCAAAGTATGGTCAACAGAATCTTGATATACGTTCAGAACTGGAAACTGAACCAATGCATGAAGCCACATGGTGGCCTGCTGTTTTTTGGTACCACTGAGCTATCTTCCTGCAGCAACATTACCCAAAGTCTTCATTTCTTAACATTCAATTAAAGGGGAGCCAAAACATCAAACACGTCTATCTGTCACTTCAAAGTTAATCCTTACTTGTTCATATATTTCAGTCAGCTTCTTCTTTCTTTTGTCCTAAATATCTAGACTCTGTTTTACCTGTGGATATCAGAGATGTGAAGGTTCTGTTTAATTACTGGTTGTATAAAACTGAAAGAAAGTTAATTTTCTGTCTGTTGATAAATTCATTCAATATCATTTCCTTTGAAATTTTATACTTATGAAAAAACGTTAACTGTTTTTGTCTCTAATTTAGGTGGAAGGTGAATAAATCATCTTCTCTGAGAGTTTGGGACTCATTTCCTTTTTCCCTGGTTTTGTCAGATCGCAGCTCAGATCTGTCGACAGGCCGGTTTGGTGAAGAAGTCCAAGGACGTGATGGACTACAGTGAGGACAACTTTGCTATTGTTTTTGCAGCCATGGGGGTGAGATCCTGATGCTGTTCTGTCCCAGACTCACTCTGACTAAGACACCCTGTGCTTCAGTTTTTACAGTTAATGGAAACACAGCTACTCACATTTGACTCCAAATACTTTGGTGTTTTTGTTTGGCCATCGTACTGTATAGTGCTCTTCTAGTCATACCGACCACTCAAAGTTATTCTGAAGCTGAAATATCTTTTAAAATTAATTTCTGACAGATTTTTGACACAGCTGTAGAGTAGTCGGCACATCTGTCCTCTCTCCTCAGGTCAACATGGAGACTGCCAGGTTCTTTAAGTCAGATTTTGAGGAAAATGGATCTATGGACAATGTCTGTCTGTTCCTCAACCTGGCCAATGACCCCACGTATGGCTTTTTTCTGAGATGTGTTTGTGCTCATCAAATGTGATGCTTTTTTCTGATTTGTAAATAATGTGTAAATTAAGCTAAAGTCTTGGTTTGTGCAGCATTGAGCGAATCATCACTCCCCGTTTAGCTCTGACATCAGCGGAGTACCTGGCCTATCAGTGTGAGAAGCACGTCCTGGTTATCCTCACCGACATGAGCTCCTACGCCGAGGCCCTTCGAGAGGTCTGCCATGCTCTGCTCAGCATTCATTCTGATTTGACTGCTGGAAGTGGAACCAAGCTTTGGATGTTCTCTCCCAGGTGTCTGCTGCCAGAGAGGAGGTGCCGGGCCGCCGAGGTTTCCCTGGCTACATGTACACTGACCTAGCCACCATCTATGAGAGGGCCGGCAGAGTAGAGGGCCGCAACGGCTCCATCACCCAGATCCCCATCCTCACCATGCCCAATGATGGTACTCCCTCTGCCGGAGCTCAGCATGGTGGCAGCTCCAGGACTGTCACAGACTGATCCTTTTTCTGCCTTTCAGACATCACCCATCCTATTCCTGACCTGACCGGTTACATCACTGAGGGACAGATCTATGTGGACAGACAGCTTCACAACAGACAGGTAACATCCTCCTCCATAAAACAGCTGGACATTCTCCCACGTTTCAAACAAAACTTTGGTTTTTGTTCCATTTGGTTTCCAGTATACAAAGAAATAGATTAGTTTAATGTCAAGTTTATTTTATTATAGATTGAATTGAATACTTCAATGATTATTTTAATTCTTCTGTCCTCATCTTCTTCTCTTCCTCTGGTCAGATCTACCCCCCCATCAATGTTCTTCCATCTCTCTCTCGACTGATGAAGTCTGCTATTGGGGAGGGAATGACCCGCAAAGACCACTCTGATGTTTCCAACCAGCTTGTATGTTCAAAGCTCTCCCTGTTCAGCACAAACAGACATTTAGTACACTTTACTTAACTTGTATGCATGCATGTGTGTGTGTATGTGTGTGTGTGCTGTGTGTGTGTGTGTAGTATGCATGCTATGCCATAGGGAAAGATGTGCAGGCCATGAAGGCGGTGGTGGGAGAAGAGGCTCTTACTGCTGATGACCTGCTATATCTGGAGTTCCTTACCAAGTTTGAGAAGAACTTCATTTCCCAAGGTGCAGTGATGACCAGATATTTTGTGTTCTTGTATGAAATATGTGTAAATAAAATCAAAAGTGAACTTTGTTAAATTTTTAGGGGTGTAACAAGGTGTTGGGAGTTCTGCTCAGCATTCACTTTGTTTGGTAATAGTGTCAGCTATTATGATCCCTGGGTAGAGAAACAAAGTCTTTAAGGTTTATAAACTGTTGTCTCTGTGCTGGAGAATCGGATTTTGTAAGAAGTAAGAAAAAATGAAGCAGTTCTTGAGTTGTCCTCTTTGGGTGGGTAAATATTATAGATTAAAATGGTCTCTCTTTTTGTGATATATGGACCCACTGTTAGCAGCTTGAGCTTAAACTATGACTCAAACTATGACCTTGATATCCTGTCATGATCATTTTTTGGTGTTAGGAATGCCTCAGAATTACAGAAGCAATGAAAAAAAAGTCACGCCTTGGCAGGAATAATATTTAAACATGAATTCACAAAACCAAATTTCAGTTCCTTCCTTTAAATAGATGGGTCTTATTTTCATAATCATATGGTCTCATCCTGTGTCTTTCTGTTGAACTCAACATTTGTGTCTTTTCTCATGATTTGGATATATTGTTATACCTTGATATTCTACTCTTATTTATTTCTAATGGTTGCTGTAAAGCTCTGCTAGTAACTTGTTCAATTCATTTTATATTTCATAACAGCCCAATTCATATCCAATTATTATAATTATTTAATATAATAAATTACTAAATATAGATAGAATTTGTTGTATACAGTCAAAATTGATCTAATTTTTAATTCAGTGCAGTTCAGTCAAATCATATAATGCCAATGCAAAGTTCTGGGCCAACATTTTGCTCTGGTTTTACTGGTGCAATAAAACTGTCCAACTGCATCACATTTAACTTCTTAGTTATACAAGGTTATTTATTGTTTTAATCTTTTCTTGATTGGTTTATTGGTTGATTAGATGGTTGGTTGGTAGGTAGGTTGGTTGGTTAGTTAATAAGTTAGTTGGTTGATTGGTTAGTCAGTCAGTTGGTCGGTCAGTCATGTATGAGGATAAGTTGAGCTGTTATACTCCGACCTTGGAACAGTTTCATTTTGAAATAAAACTTCATCCTAAAGGGTTAAGATCAGCCCCGTACACAGACCAACAGAATGCTGGTTTATTTAACATGTGCTGTGTGTGTGTGTGTTTGTGTGTTCAGGAGCCTATGAGAACAGGAGTGTGTTTGAGACTCTGGATATCGGATGGCAGCTCATGAGGATCTTCCCCAAAGAAATGCTGAAGAGAATCCCTCAGAACACCCTGGCTGAGTTCTACCCCCGGGAATCCAAACATTAGCTACACACACGTGCACACACTCCACTTCCTGTCCTCTAATCCGGCTGAGGCCTCACTCTGTATATACAGTGTAGTGTTGTGACGCTGTAACCATGCCGATGCTTGCTGCTTTCATCTGACGTTGAGGGTAAATCATCCCGGCATAAACAGAAGGAGAAAAAAAGAATGGACTTTTAGAAGTTTGTTTCCAGAGTAAATGTCAAGAGCTTCTGTGGAGAATAATATATACATTAAATGTGTGTCAAGAAAATGATTTGGACATAATTCATAAAAAGATTTATGACTTATAGAGTGGCAGAGTTTAAGTCCAACTGAGGGCTCGGTTCTGAAGTATACGGGAGCGTTATTATTTACTGAATGTCTGCATCATTTCTGTCATCGCATGAAGAAAACTATGTGCTTTGTGTGTTCCTGTCCGTGGCATAGAAAATCTGATTGAATCTCAGGAAGTCAGAGTGAGCTAGAGTTGAATAAAAATACCAAAAGAAAACTGCAGAAAAGGAGCAAGTTAGTAAATCAAACAGCTTCATTTTGATAATGTAAACTTCATTAAACTCACCTTGTTCTGCTGGGCCCAGTTTTGTTCTTCTAACTGGAGCATTTAAACTTTTGGTTAGACTCTCTTACCAGTTGCAAACATATCCTGTATAGATGGTTTTATAACAGTGATCTGGGTGCAGTTGTTCCTGTGTATTGTTGATATCATTTTGTAAATTTGCTCCATTGTTTACTATGACAGCTCACATAAAGAAAAGCATAAAAAATGCTTTAGAATACCAAATAAACAGGCCTGAGCTTCTCAAAAGCTTCTGAGAATTTTTGATTCCCATAAAAATTTCTGCCATTCAGCAGCTTTGTCAAGTATTTAATCTGTCATAAAGAAACTGTTTGTTGCTCTGAGTTTATAACCAGCAAGGTAGATGGATGCATTTTAACGCTCATATCAGTATAAAATCAGATAACAAGCCAGCCGATCCATTCATGGAAACACAATCCATTCCTGGTTCCTTCGGCTTTTCTTGACAGATTCTTGTTATGGAGGTGTCAGTCAGAACGGGCTCTCATCCATAGGACAGCCTGAGCTGTGCAGTTCCATTTCCCTTTACATATGACAGAAAAAACAGGACAACATCCATTTACCATGCAAACAAAGACACTGGGTTATGGAGACAAATCTGTCTCGTTTAGAACCAGACCAGAGAGAAAGAACCCAGATTGCAGCTGCAGAACTGACCAAATTTAATTTACAATTCTGTTAACATTTCTTTCAAAATGAACAGGTTCTCCTTACTTTGTGTACGATTAGAGCACACATTTAAGATCTGATGGGTCTGACAGAAAGTCAGCTGATACCTTGGGCTGTCCCTGAATAGACCATCAACATCATAGAATGAATTATACATTTAAGAATGTACTGAAATTGAATGATCTCACCTCAATCTTTTCTCTTTTTTTGGGTGGAAATCTGTTAAATGTTCAGTTCTGCTCTCAGCACTTGTCATATTTGATTTAGATCATGTCAGATATGAAGAGAACTCAATCAATGAAGCCAAATTATAAAATGTCTTCTGGCCTTCTTAAAAAGCTTTTAATTTAACCGTTTTTGTTTGAGTCCAAGTATAATTATCACTTTGTTATAAAGTTCCTTTGTTGCCTTCAGACCATGAGCTGAATTACTGTGGATTGTATTTGTGTGAGCGTTTGACACTGATTGTAAACTCAACATGTTTAGTTGTGTGTTTCGTTGCTGTCTTTATATTGAACATCTGCTGCTGAGTTTTAGTTTTCTCCCTCAGCTCGTCCTGTGATTGGTTGGATGTATACATCAGATGTCATCAGTCATGTCTACCTTTACTTCTCAATCAACAGTTCCAACTCTGTATTTATAAAATATTTATTTTTCTTCAGATTTATTTCTATCATCATTTAAAGACATTAGATGTAAGATAAAAAAGTTCATTTCAAAGTTTATATGTAGGTTATAGTTTTATAACCTGAGGGATTCAGACTGCTTTGTTGCACATTGATTGGACAGTATGATGGTGACAGACCCTCGTTGTCTGATCAGAGCTCTTTTTTGTTGTAGTGATTATTGTTCTGATGGTCCTTTTAAGCCAGTCATGCCTGAAGTTAAGCTGCCTGGGTTTTAACAATACGCTCCATGTGTTGGAATGTTGGATGTCTTTAGGTCATGATTGTGTAAAGTAATGTCTGTTCCTGTTCTCTGTGTACAAGTCGTTTTAAAATCTCATTCATCTGTGTAAACTGTTTGTGGTTATGTGCTGTGAGCTTATTGATTGGTTCAGAAGAAAGTGCATGCTTTGTTACTAAATGTCTCTTGTCGTTGCCTCGGGTTTCATGTCTGACTGTGAAATAAAGGCTGCTGCCTCAGTACTTCTAGTGGCTTTTATTATCTGCATATTTACAAAGATAGAACTGGATTACATTACAAAATATGCCATGTGCAATATTTCACTCTTCAATCCCAGATGTTTAGAAAATATTTTGAATACTTTTAGTTTTTACCATGGCTGTGTTTAAGTGTACGATATGACATGAAACATATTTATGGCCAGATGTTCATTCATCTTGAACAATCATCTATAAACAATTTCTTTAGCTTTTTTTTCACTCTAAAATGTTCAGAATGTATATATACAGAGATACAGAAATAGACAAATATTTGTGTTTGTTAATGAAATATGTTGAAACAAACAACAAGGCATGGGCCGGATACCAAAGTGCACTAGGATTTTAAAAACCTATCAAAACGGCTAATTCCATCATACCAATCCTGTGGTTAAAAGTCTTTTAAAGAGGCTCCAGAGAATGTGCTTTGCACACACTCTGCATCCTCTTGATGAGCTTCAAGAGGTCATCACCTGAAATAGCTTTCACTTCACAGGTGTGCCCTGTCAGGTTGATAAGTGGCTTTCTTGCCTTATAAATAGTCATGAAAATAAAGGAAACCCATTGAATGAGAATGTTGTCTGTACTGTATATGAAGCACATCATTGAAGATGAAGAAAAGCTCAAACTTTCATTTGAGAAAAGAGTTCCACAATTCCTATCAAATTAATCTGACTCATTAATTTATTAAAATGTATATTTTACTTATTAAATATGACCAGAAAATTTATTTTCACTAGATTTCTTTTAGCCACTTTTTAAACCTGGAACAACAGCAGAGCATGGCGGTCATGTATGGCAGATTGTATAGATAATGTCTGCAAGAAAACACCTTGAGAAGGTGAAGAATTCATTTTTTATTGAAAAATGAATCATGAAATAAGTTTTCTGAATGATTTCAGCAGCTTTTATTTATTTCTATTTCTATTTTATTAGACTAGATATCCCAATATCACTACACCTGACTAACTGATCACTTTGCATTCACAGTCTTTGCGCTCACACCAAGAGAACTATCCATCCATCCATTTTCTTAACCCTTGTCCCTTCTGAGGTCGGGAGGTCAAGAGAACTATGCATCATTTAAAGTTTAAAGTTTATATTTGTCACTTCTTTATTCAGCTATTTCAGGCTGCTGTTTGTCCAGCTATTTTTCTCATATTTTCATTTTATTTTGCAATATTGGGCAGCTGACCAACTATTTAATTATGTAATTGAAATAGAAATGAGCTGAACTGAAATTGTGATTTATCGACAGTGATGCGGGAAAAAATGAAATGATCCAAAACCTGTTAAATTAGGAACGTATTCAGTTGCTGTTTTAATTTAGGGCAAAACGAGGGCAAACAGTGTCAGAAAATCTCCATCAGTGTTAGCGCTGACTCACAGTTCAAAACATGTTTTTCAAGGAAGAAGTGCAGAAATATTTGTAAGAGAGACTTTGAATGAGCTTCTTATCAGGCTGCAGTGAGATAAGACTTTTATCTGTCCTTGTAGCTGCAGACACTTAAAGTGGCAAAGCAGGGAAACCAACAAAATTGAAATAATGACATAATAAATGCAATTTAATTCAAAATACTGTATTCATCTCAGTAGAAAATTAAATGTTTCAACTCATAGTACTCAAAGTTCTTCAAAGAGTTGATGTGGGTAATGATGTCTGTGGTCAGGAAGGATCTCTTGTAGCAGTCTGTATTGCAGTGGTTCTGAAGAAGCTTCTGACAGAAGATACTGTGGTTGTAAAGCAGAAGAAGAGGATGACCAGTAACTTTCTTGAATTTATGTAAAATCCTTCTTTGCATCATCATCTCATGCGGTTCCACAGACGTTCCCAGAACAGAACCAGAACAGGACCAAAACAGAACCAGATCAGAACCAGCCTTCTTCATCAGGTTTTTAGGTTCCTGGTTCTGATGCTGCATGTTTTAGATTTTCAAACCTTTATTTCCAACAACAGACATAACAAAAGTATTTTACTGTAACAGTGCTGCTGCAACTGCTACTTTATCAGTCATATGAGATTTCATATTGTTTCTGTGTGACATCAGGACTGGGTCCACCTGGGTCCACCTTATCTGGGATGTTGATTTTGTCTCCTCTTGTTCAACCCATTGGTCAGGACAGGACAAGAAGTTCTCTCATTTCGTCATTTTTCCATTAAAACAGTCAGTTTTTGACTCTAAATCCTAAATAACCTTCAAACTAAAAGGTTTTGTTCAGAAACTGTTGGCAAAATAACAATTATAACTTTATTGTATATTGAAGTGATTTTTAAAAAATCAAGAGGAAATTCAGTATTAATCACAGTGGGAACCTTCTGGCCCATATATTTGCCAAGAATCTGTTCTGATTATGCTACATTATATTTAATAATCCACAAATGACCCATAATTATCACAAAGTTATTATTTCATCAGTGTGCCAACACAGCCGGTCTTTGCTTTAATCAAGCTTTGAACTCAGGACGTTCAGACTGAGGAAAAGTCCTTTTAATTGGAGACTTATTGTGAAGGAGTCTAAAATGAACCGTTTTCCTCTCTGTTTGTAAAAGGTCACCAAACATTGACCTCTCTGAATGAACCTTCTAAAATTCAAGACTAGTCACAATGTTTTACTAAATCAACAACAATTGACCAAAGTGCTGAACAAATGACAAAATTAACAGTAAATTAAAATAGCAATTCAAATTAATAATATAAATATCCTTGGGTTATTTATTTATATCTGAGCAGAAGACTTATCTGTTCTTCTCAGACTACTGAACTAAGCTGAGCTGAGCTTTCCCTGCTTATAACTGCATGTTCTCTCCAGGAAAATGGCTCAGAGCTCATCTGTTAAGTTGTGTTTCTGTATGTGGTGAAGGATCTACTGCTGCCATGACTTAATGCTTTTCTTTCGCATAAAATGTATTCCTGGATCAGGGCTTTGCTACTTAGTTAAACTCCACTGAGTCTGGTTCTGGTTCTGCTAGAGGTTTCTTCCAGTCAAAGGAGAGTTTTACTTTCTGCTGATTGTCACTGCAAGTGACAGTAGACTGTTGCTCATGCAGGCAGAGTGATTGATGACAGTCACACAGTCACACACACATTCACACACTGATCATGGTATGCTACATTATTTTAAACCAATTTAAACTCAACTTGACTGCATTGTTGGATAACCAGCATCAACTGGAACGTATTGTTTGTGAATCTGTCTATAAGATTGGATTAGTTTCAATTCTATATTTATTTTTTGTTAAGTGCATTGAGACAATGTGTTGTGAACTGGTGCTGCATAGATGAACTGAACGAAGCTGAAAAGATGAGAGCAAGAATGAGCTGTGTGGTAAAGCTTCCTGTTTGGATCCATGAGTGGCATGTATGTTTGTTCAGCTGACTTTTATCCAAGGCAACTTACAAGAATGCAGCAGTGTATGGATATGGAGAGCCACTTGAGCTCTCCATGTTTTGGCTATATTGGCTGGAAAGGGTCTCCATATATATAGTCACAAGGCAAAATAATAAAAGGTCTCAATGATTAGAACAACGAAATGTGGTTGAAGAAACCCTCCATATTCTAACCCCACTGAGAACCTGGTCAGCAGGAGGAGAAACGAGAAGCAACAAATGGTGACCAAGCACCATGTGGTGGAGGAAATAATAATAAAAATACTACTACTACTACTACTACTACTACTACTACTACTAATAATAATAATAATAGTAATAATAATAATAATAATATAAAGTGAACCATTATTTGTCTCAGAAACCTTTGGCCAAGGTTGTAGATCTCCAGGTGACCACAGGGAGGTGCTGTGGTACTGTGATGGATTACCCAGCCATTGATCCTGCCATCTGCCATTCTGAAGTCCAATAATAAAACCGAAGGTGAACAAGGATGAGGATGTTCACTTCTCTCCCATCTCAGCGTCTTCCAAATACCAGCAGGTCATGTGTGAAAGTTCAGCTGAAAGATGAGAGTCGGCGTCGGTTAAGTGCCAGCAGCATCTCATAGAGACCTTATGAAAGATGAAAGCAGCACTTTGAATGGCTGCTAAACCCAAACACTGGTCACAAATTCTGATTGAGGGATTCAACCTGAACTTTAAATGCACTTAGATGAAAGAGCTCTAAAATGACTCTCAGGGAAGATTTTTTTTTCTTTGTACGACAACTTGTTTGACCTTCTTACAAGAACCTGAAACAAGCAATTATTACCTGTGTCTTGATTATCTGATAATTACAGAAGTGAAAAGAAATCATTTGTTTATTCTTACGACAGCAACAGCAGAATTGTTTGAGAGAATGATCATATAGTCATGACTGCAGCTCAAGGTTTAACCTTAATTAGAATCACAGATGCCTTGGAGCTTTTCATCAGCCATTCAGCCAATTTAAGGAGAACAAACAAGCTGCTGGGTAGTTTGGGAACATTGTGTTCACCACACTAAGGATGGAGCAGAGGAAGCTAAAGCTAGAGCTCCAAACAAGAACATAGATCTACAAAAGCTTCATGTTCCTGTAACCACAATCAATCAATCAATCAATCAATCAATCAATCAATCAATCAATCAATCAATCAATCAATCAATCAATCAATCAATCAATCAATCAATCAATCAATCAATCAATCAATCAATCAATCAATCAATCAATCAATCAATCAATCAATCAATCAATCAATCAATCAATCAATCAATCAATCAATCAATCAAGTTTATTTGTATGACACTGCAAACAGCACCAATCAGCCTATTGATCTCCTGCTCCATTTTTCCCTCATTTGTGAGTTTCTGAGATACTTTGGACAGGACAACTTCCATCCTGGTCACTTCATGCTCTGCTTCAGCAAAAACTAAAAAAACTAATATCACACTTATACATATGCAAAGAGCAGATATGCGATCCTAAGGGTACCAAAACATATCCCATACACCCAGAGCACTCCTCACACGGTGCCCAGAGGGACACTGTTGCAACTCCTTCTCCAAGTTGAAAGCT